GCATGGAGTTTGCTAAAAAATACCTGAAGGACTCCAAGATGGTGAGAAATAAGATTCTCTGGTCTGATGAGACCAAGATAGAACTTTTTGGCCTTAATTCTAAGTGGTATGTGTGGAGAAAACCAGGCACTGCTCATCACCTGTCCAATACGGTCCCAACAGTGAAGCATGGTGGTGGCAGCATCATGCTATGGGGGTGTTTTTCAGCTGCAGGGACCGGACGACTGGTTGCAATCGAGGGAAGGATGAATGCGGCCAAGTACAGGGATATCCTGGACGAACACCTTCTCCAGAGTGCTCAGGACCTCAGACTGGGCTGAAGGTTCACCTTCCAACAAGACAATGACCCTAAGCACACAGCTAAAATAACGGAGTGGCTTCACAACAACTCCGTGACTGTTCTTGAATGGCCCCGCCAGAGCCCTGACTTAAACCCAATTGAGCATCTCTGGAGAGACCTGAAAATGGCTGTCCACCCACGTTTACCATCCAACCTGACAGAACTGGAGAGGATCTGCAAGGAGGAATGGCAGAGGATCCCCAAATGCAGGTGTGAAAAACTTGTTGCATCATTCCCAAAAAGACTCATGGCTGTATTAGCTCAAAAGGCTGCTTCTACTAAATACTGAGCAAAGGGTCTGAATACTTATGACCATATGATATTTCAGTTTTTCTTTTTTAATAAATCTGCAAAAATGTCATTAATTCTGTGTTTTTCTGTCAATATGGGGTGCTGGGTGTACATTAATGAGGAAAAAGATGAACTTAAATGATTTTAGTATATGGCTGCAATATAACAAAGAGTGAAAAATTTAAGGGGGTCTGAATACTTTCCGTACCCACTGTATATACACACGCACACACAATATATGCATGCAAAATGTACAAATTTACATTATTAATTATATTTTGTGCTTTATGGTGTTTTTACCATAATAAATATTTTAAGACTTTTCTTGTCAAATGGCCTTGACTGGCTCTGTAGAATTTAACTGATCATTGACATCATCTTTGCTTGTCTAGTAATGGCTGGCATGGGCGCAATGGGCATACGATGACCTGGCATCAAATAAAAAGCCAGAGAGGCTGTAACATAACACTGTAACCAGGGTGCGATTTGTATCTATACAGCTTATTCATGACTAGGGTGTTAAAGCAACATTTTTAGAATAATTATAAACTTTAACAAAAGAATTTCAGAACATAAACTAAACCACTGCATTTTTAAAATGTTTACCATCAGGCCTTCTCCTTTCCTCATACAGGCTGCGTTCATAGACAACCCAACATTCAACAGTTAAATCCCCCTGAGCGCCACTTGGCCAGAACATCTATTATAAATATCAATATTCAGTTGAAAATAATCTCAAAATAATGAATTAGCACCATGTGTTGTCAACCAAAAAATAAATAGGCCACAGTATATTTCTTTGCGAGAGGCTTCTGTATAATGAGAGGCTTGTCATCTCTGTATAGGATGCGGTCATTTTCATCAAATGGCCAGTTTGGATCCCCTAAATTCTTTTAACTTGTCTTTAATTTGGACAGGTTTTAGTGTTCTTGTACAGCGTGTTGATACTCTGACTTAACACCGAGTTAAACCGTAGTCAATGAAGAGGTCGTAGCAAGATGAAAACATTTACTGTCCACTCTTCATATAACATCACGGTAAAAACTGCAAATAAACAATACAATAAACACTGTGTAATGCTGTAAATATGCTTATTTAACCAATATCTATACTATAAATGGTGGTACACTTCAACACACATTCAAATGCATTGTATCAGCTAGCTTATGCACAACTGTAAATAAATTTCCTCAACTTTACATCTAACTCTTTTTAACACAATCATAGCAAATGTTAACTATACTTTGTCAACTGACACATATCATAACTTACGGCATTGCTTCTATCACGTTTCCTAGCAGATGAAGATGAATGCACATGCTGCAAACAAGAGCCTTACGTCAGCCATCTTTCTTACTAACGGGAAATCGCTAAACCCAGAAGTGACGTCATCACCCGGCGCCATTTAGTAAATAGGTTTAGCGTTACCATTTTTTTTTACATATGTAATTAAAAACCTGGCCCTTCACCAAAAACAGATAACAACTTCAACAAATAATTAGCTAAATAAATGCCTTAGAGGCAACACACAGGTAGCTGTAGTTTCCTTGCCGACATAGGCTAGTTGTATTCACTAAATGGTAAAATGGACTGTATTTTATATAGCGCTTTCTCACAGTGTGTTGCACTGGCCAAAGCGCTTTACAGAAGATCATACACCATTCACACACCGATGACGACAGGCTGCCATGCACCGGCGCTAATCAAGCCACCGAGCAAGACGGGGTTCAGTGTCTTGCTCAGGGACACACCTAGGCATGGGGGGGAGACCGGGAGTCGAACCACCAACTTGCTGGTCAGGAGATGACTGCCCTACTCATGAGCTACAGCCACCCCCACTATGGATAAAAAGTAACTCAGCAGGGGCAGAGATATATAGACTGGGGGGTCTGTACCCCCCCAGCAAATCGTGTGTGTGGAATGTGGTGAAATACTTTTCTGAATTACTATTTTTCTGGTTTCAGAATGAAACAGACATTATTTAATTTGTTCTCCAAATGAGAGAGTGCAGTGTACTCGCAGTTTTACAAGGTTTTGTCTACTCAGAGAGTTGGGCTGCAGAGATGGAGGCAGACGAGAAAACATTCCTGGCAGGTTTTAATCGTATACATAGCCCTGCAGCCGTACATATTTGGCTGTAGTGGTGGGTAATTTAAACCACTTGAAACTCTTGGCATCAAAAGCTGCTTGTCTCTGTGAAGGTGGTAATCTGCACGATGCTCATTTGTTTGTGAAGTGTCAATGTGGAGAGAGGGCTTTTGTTTGTGTTGTGTTTTTTTATGTAAGATCATCACATAAGACCTCAAAGATCTACAACACATGCAAACGCCAAAGGCTCATTCTGGGTAAACTGTCTCTCTCTGAGGCAGAATTTGTTGGAGTTACTGAGTGGGATATTTATTCATTGTCATTTCACGACTGTCAGATGTAAACAGTTCAGTTAAGCACCACCTCAATATCCTATATTTTATTATGCAGTAATGTGTAACCACCATTTCATGTTGTCTCTGGTCAAAGTGGAGGCAATTTTTTTATAGTTGTGGGTAATGGTGTGAATTACTTATATGTTTGTTACTGCTTATCTAAATAGATAAGGGGCACAGGGAGAGCATAAGGGAGAGGGACGTCTGTACCACCTTGCTGAACCTGATCTCGGATAAGTGGGAAGAAAATGGATGATCTAGTAAAGCAACAGATGTTGAGTATCTGATGCATCTTTGCTTTCTGCAGAATCAAGAACCGGTGTTCTCCAAAGATGGAAGCAGATTCTTCCTGACTGTCCCGGTCAAACAAGGAGGACGGGGAGAGTTTCATCACATCGCCATGTTCACTACACAGGTGAAGGTCGAATTTATAGTCATCTTACCATGAAGTTAATGCTTTATCACAGCAGGGATCTATCTAAATTCTTTCAGGAATGATGTGTTGCCATAGCTTTAATAAAAATATTTTATTTATATGTGCAGCTGAGTGTATGTTCTCAAAGTGTTTAACAAAAATGGAGTAAATTACTTACAGCAACCCATATTAGTTATGCTTAGTATCTTCCCCCTGATTTATGATACTTTCCACCCTACCGGTACAGGCATATGATCTAATAAAAAGAGCCTGTTTTCATCAGCAGAAACGAGGTCCTCAAATAGCCCAAGTAAGAAAAATCTCTGGCACCATGTGTAAACGGCTATACTGACTTTTTTCTCGAGGACAATCTAGATGTCTCCTAGTCAAAATCTGGCACTGTTCTGCATTGTATGGCACCATAGTAACAAGTGTGTGTGTGTGTGTGTGTGTGTGTTTAGTCTAGCAGCTTGTAAGTCTTTTAACCCCTGTTGCATTACATCTATGTTTCTGAAACAGGGAGCAGATGCAAATACAAGTCTAAACTCTTGGTGACAGCACATATGTGCGTGTCCATCAAATTGCAATTTTGGTGACCACTGGCATCACGGGCAGCCAGGCACAATCTGGAAGGAATGCACTATGATCAGCTGGAGTCAGGATGGACTTCAGTAATGGCCAATCAATTCAGTTCCTCTCATCCACCTTTAGGAGCACCAGTGGAAAGAAAAAAGGGTTAAGTGGGGAAAAAAAACCCAAAAAACCCCCCCCCCCCAAAAAAAAAAAAAAAACACAAACAAAAACAACCCAAAATCAGAACAGGTTGGGATCATATGTAAAATCAAAATTAAAAAGTGATTTTTTTTTTCTAGAAGGTAATTTTCTGGCACCTTAGCTGATAGAATTTTTTTTTTTTTTTTTTACAATTTTTCTATCGTTTTCATTTATGTCTTTAAAATAGAAGTGTTTTTGCAAAATACCAGTTATCCAACAGAAAAAAAATGAAACTTCCTTATGTCTTTAAACAGACAAATACAAAGTGAGGTCTTGAGATTTGCTAGTTTGTATACAGAAAAACACACAAGGTCAGTTAACATTAAATCTTGATACCTGATCAAGTGATTTTAACAAGGGATGAAGGTACCACACTGAGCCAGCAGGATTCTGTAGAAGTGTGAGTGTGGAGGAACTAACAGATTCCTGTTGGGTTTGTCCGTCTGGACCGGGTACAGTTATGAAGATTGGACCCATGCAGGTTGTCTAACGTGTTTTGTTTGCAGGGTACAACATGAATCAGTGTGATGTTACCGATTACATCAATATACTTCTGTGCATAAGCCAGTAAAAAAATTTCTTAACATGATGGAAGGTGCTAAAACAAAAACAGTCCTTTCACTTGACATAAATGTATTGATCGGTTTTAATATAAAATGATTGACTCTGGAGACAGCTGCATTAATCTGGAAGATTTTACTGTTTAACTTAGAACCTGCCAACAAAAGCTTTCCAGTCTCATGTTAAGAAAACAGAACGCTGAAAATGAAGCACGTGTTTCATTCTGCTGCTGTCCACAGGTGTTTAATCATCTACAAAGAAAAGAGCTGACTTTCTACAGGTTGTCATAAAGCCTCTAGATAATCATCACCTTTTGCTCAACTTGAAAACATTTTCATCTGTTTCTCTGGTGAAGACAATTTCAAATATGCAGCTGAGACCAGAGGATACAGAATGAGAAGACTTAGGTTTACCAAGTTCAAATAAATCACCTATCCTCTTCTGTTTCTCCCAGTTCAGAGCAGATCAAAATGAAGTCCGACATTTAACATCAGGAAACTGGGAGGTGACCAAGATCATTGCCTACAACAAGAACTCTGAGAATCTGTAAGCCTGAGTTTTATATATTTCTTAAAAATAAAAACTCATCTAGATTCACATTTGAGAGAGTAAACAAACTGTATCCTTGTTTTCAAGTGTATACCACACTTGCACTGTACACAAAGGAGTGTGTGGTTTGATAATTAAATCCATAAATTTCATTTAAAGTCCCAGTGGCTTCTCATTTCCAGACATCCAATGTTTAATCTTGGGTACCTCTAGTTTAGCTTGGCACATTTCATAACGCCAAATAGTCTAATTATTTCAGAATGATAGAACCAGAGAGACTCTTCCTAAAACAAGAGGATAGTTTGAATGCGCACACCACCTGCTGCTGATCTGGAAGTCATCAACACAAACAAAAAACATTGACAAATAAGCTACGTTTTCAACAATGAAAATACCTCAAACCCTACCTGACATGTCCACTTTCATATTCTGGCTCGAACATAAAAGTGGACAAGAGCAGGGTTCGGCTGGCGGAGCTGGAGCGGAGCTAGCCGAGAGAGGTAGCAGCATAGCTGGAGTTGAACTTGGCTGGCGCGATTGCTGACGAACGAGGAGATGAACTCTACGGGAGCGGTTAGCTAGCGTCGCTGGAATAGTGCTAAGATGGAGCGGTTAGCTTTAGCTAGCGTCGATGGAGTAGTGCTAGGCTGGAGCGGTTAGCTAGCGTCGCTGGAATAGTGCTAAGATGGAGCGGTTAGCTTTAGCTAGCGTCGATGGAGTAGTGCTAGGCTGGAGCGGTTAGCTAGCGTCGCTGGAATAGTGCTAAGATGGAGCGGTTAGCTTTAGCTAGCGTCGATGGAGTAGTGCTAGGCTGGAGCGGTTAGCTAGCGTCGCTGGAATAGTGCTAAGATGGAGCGGTTAGCTTTAGCTAGCGTCGATGGAGTAGTGCTAGGCTGGAGCGGTTAGCTAGCGTCGCTGGAGTGGTTAGCTGACTTGCGATATCAGCTACAAGTAAGGGCAGCACGAAGCTGCCCTGCTGGGTAAGACTGGGAAGGAAGGCACTAGAACGGAGCTGGGGCGTCTGAGCAGGTAAGATGCACAGCAAGACTGGACTGAGCAGAACTGAGACTCATGAGTCTAACAGGTGAGGATCAGCAGGCAGAAACTCTCTCTTGGTTGCAGAGTAGAAAGTCAGCCAGCGACGTGTTTCAAGAACAACAACAACAAAAAGCTGACTGTCAAAGGAAGAAGAGGTAACAGAAAGAGTCCTGGTTAATAAATGCTCTGGCGCCAAGTAACTCGACCAAGCTGGTTCAAGGGAGAAGTGAGGCAGAGGATGCCATGTGACGTCACAGGGCTCTTTAAACAAACACATAATGAGGTTCAATATTTAATGTGTTTGTTATCTCTTGTTTTCTCTTGACAGTTATTTTCTCAGCACAGAGGGTTCACCACGAAGACGGCAGCTATTCAGGTTGGTTTTTCACTTATTGTGCACTTCTTGGTGATGACAGCTATTTTACAATACCAGTGTATTTTAATTAAAATTCTAATATTTGACACCAGACATTCTGTATTTTTGTCATTAACAGTAAAAGACCAATATCTAAGAACTAATCTACTGTGGTGTCTGTGCCTTCAAATACCTGATCTAGGTTATTCCTCTGACTAATTCTGACATGACCAGCTCCAGAGCTTTTAAAAAACATAACACAAAGCATCTTATTGCATTTGGTGACTTATTCTTTTACTACAGTAAACACACCCAGCATACATTATTTTGAATCAGTCTGGTGACTGCATTATCAGTCTTTGGATAGTAATCATTTCATTATTCATCTGTCAAATATTTTGACATTGGTTAATTATTTGGTCTAATCTGTATCAGAAAACAGTGAAACGTGTCCTTGGTCATATCATTAAATGTTCGATCAACAGATTATAAAACAAAACTGAGATATTTAGTTAGTTATATAAAACAGAGACAAAAGCAAATTCTCATGTATAAAATGTTCAATAATCCCTTCCAATAAGATTCCAGTAAACACATTGTTCACATATTTGCAGCTATGTTCATAAATTGAATCATGAAGAAGATTTGCTAGTCATCATTTTGTATATTGTTTGCTTCTCGGTTTTGGTCTCTTTTGGGGACTTCTGACCATAAGACAAAGCTAAAGTAATGCTAGCATAATCTTTGAGGTCTGTCTTCTACTCAAAACATTTTGTGCATACTTTCCACATTTTTTTCTTTTCTCTCCCCAGCGTTAAAACTGTGGGTCTGTTCCCACGACAGTGTTTAACATGTGAGCTAAATAAAGCTCACTGTCTGTACTTTGATGCTGACATCAGCCCCACAAACCAGCACGTCATCCTCCACTGTAAAGGTAGGACAGCTAATTTAAAAGTTCCCTTAGTGTCTGCTCACATGCTTCAGTAAAATGGCAATGAAACATCTTTATTTTACATAATATTACAAATGACCAAGTGAAATGGAATATACTGTTGTTAAAAAGTGGGAACGCCTTTGAGAACCACAGCAGTTTGTTGCAGAATACCACCCTCAGTGGCTGAGGGTTTCAATGAATTCATTTTCCAGCAAACTAGCACTTATTGAGAGGTTAATAAAGCTTTACCCATCTCATATTCCAAAGGAACACCTCTGTCCCATGATACCCTTCTGTTAGCTGCTACAATCTAATGGAGTCAAATGCAGTTTTATAGAGTGGATAAATACACTTTAGTGAGTGCAAGTTTATCATCCAAATGTGTTCAAGCTTCACAGAAGGCTCAAGGAGTTTTGATCATTATAATAGAAATGCCACATCACTACACTGTACATTTAAGGTGATGTATAGCAATAATGGTTACGTCTTCCCAGATTCGATGCAGAGGTTTCACCTTCACTGCATGGCATTAAGTCTCTCATGTTTTCAGGGCTTTGTGAAATCCACAAATATACAAATGTGATCATCTCAGAGTGCGGTGAAGTTGAACAACCTCAAACCTAAAATGACATGAGTGTTCATTTAAAGACAACACAACTGCAGATGACTGCAGATAACACATTCCGAAACCCCATTTTGTAAACAGGGGTAATAGAGTGTATTATGTCCCTAATTGAACTGTTTTCATTCACCATGCCCATGTACTGAGATCATCTGGCATATGTCTGTTTGCTCATTATAATCTGTCACCCTCCAACTATTTAATTTTAAATTCATCTCTCATCAATTCCAAATTAGGGCCATAAAATTAAAACAATTAGCCACGCTACTGTGTATAATTACTTTTAGGTAATGGCCAATGTATTTGGCAATGAGTAGCTTATTTAATAGAGGGTAACTTCATATTTTTTGTGGTTTTATTATATTTTGAACAGATGAGAGTGCTGCATGCTCAAAAGCATTTGGGTTTTGCCGAGGTGATTTACAGGACAACACTGTTCGCTTTCTCAAATTCAATAAAAAGAATAGGGAGAGCCTGTCTACAAATGGCCAAACTCACACAACCCACACAAACCTGTCCTGACACCTGTTTTTGTCAAGAGCAACAAAAGCCTTTTAATTCCACTCATAAAAAGCTTCTGTGTACATTCAAGCTGCATGCACACAATGAAGGCCTCTCTCTGTGCGACACAATGTTTGCAAAGGTCAAACCTAATACAGTCTAATACACAGTGCAAGAAGGGAAATAAAGTATGAGCTACAGTACACAGTAGCTTGTGTTTCAGTCCAAAGAATGCAGAGCAGGAGGAACGTGGGGGAGGTGGCAGCTGTCAAGGGAAAGATGCAGCAGTAGGTGAGTTATTGAGCAAACCTGCCATCCTATTAACCTCTGACTAAGTATTTTACAAAAGGGCACAGAAAAGAGCGGACTTAATTTAACAGTCTGAGGCTGTTAGGGAGGCAACACAAGTGACCTTCAACCCCTAACTGATACAGGTAAGATAGGGAAGGTGACAATCAAAATCGAGATGGCAAGACGGCTGTCTGCATTTGACCTGTGTGTAAGTGCTGTAGTGGAGCAACCTGTCATGCATTAAAGTACCATTTAGTATGTCATGTTTTCATTTACATTGGAATTATGCCAAGGATTTCACTTGCTGATATGTAAAATTATCCTCACTATTGATGCACAGCACACACGGTCCTTCAATCATGATTACAGAGTAACAGGATCATGTTTAAATTACTTACAAAGTTTTTTGTCTTTTTAACTCTAGGTCCCGGAGCGCCTACTGTGATCTTACACAGCCTCAATAATTCAAGTAAGGACTCTGTTTAGCCTTGTGGGGATGACGGCCATGTGATGACCATCTTTGTCTGCAGGGTATCTCAGTTTTTAATTAGAAAACCAAGACGCAGAGCTCAAGGTCGAGATACTGAATCCTATCCAGCTGTGAAAAATAAGCAGGAAAAATCAAATCCACGTTCAGTCATTTTGCATCAACCATAGTCTCCATTAAAGCTTACTGGCAGTTGCAAATTTTGGCTTAGAACAGCATTTCAAAAACAAAGTATTAAACAAGAGTAACAGTCATCAACAGGAAGGTGGTTCCGTCTGTGAGAAGCGTACAGTAGCAGCTAAACGTGTCTTCACCATGTTTGAGTTTGACTTGAGTTACCACCATGTGCCTGCTTCTGAAACATGTATGGGACAGTTAGGTTTACATCCTGTCGGCACATCAGAGGTGTCATTTGGTCCAAGGCTGGACACTAGAGTGGAATGGTTTCTGTCGCTCTGCTCTACAATAATAAAGTCACACAGTCAATAAACACAGTTTCCAGCTGTCACTCACTTTCTGCTTGACATTATTGTCACTGCCTGCTCTCTCTGATCATGTACTCACTAAATAATTTTGGGTTTAGCTTGAGAGGAGCAGCTAAAGTGCACTAATGTTCCTTAATATCTAGGGTTTGATTTAGAACGAAGTGAACCTTTATCCTGCGCTAAAAAAGACCACATCATTCTGGCAATTTTCTTTTTTCCCTTCCTTTCCAACAAGCATGAATACACACACTCAAACAGACCCACATATCGTTGCAGTCACTGGCAGCACACATGCTTACTGTACAGTGCACACATGCTTCTTCTTGTTATCCATGACTCTATGTCTATTCAAAAAGTCAACAGCTGTGCTGTAGAAAAGCAAGCAATTTGCCCAGGGTTATTTGGATAGGCCCTCCATCCACAGCTGGGAACTCAAGGCCCCTGGCGGTTTTCATAATGAGACGTCTATTGATTTTGGGTTTTCCATTAGAAATGCTGGATGAATTCCATTTCATTTAGCTGTTTCTCAGATGGCTTGAATGGAAAAATGGCCAAATCAGAGAGTCTCTTTTTATTTGGAGTTTATGTGTGGGCAAAATAGCAAACAAGCTGCCGTGTGTAACAGGCCTTTCAGAAATCAAACCGTCTCACTGTTTTGTTTTGTTTTTTGTCCTTGTCCAAGTTTAACATTAACACAAAGACCAAATTATTATGGTTTCTATTAAGGTCAGTGGCAAATTATTTCCTTTTACAAGTTACAAGCTGTTTCGTAATTTCTTCTTTTTGATTCAAAGGCTGACAACGCACATACTTTATAATCACCTGTATTTGGCCAAGTATGTTACACACAAGGAACTTGTTTCCAGTACAGAACCGAGGCAGCCATCTGTGGCACCAACTGTACCTTTTGTTAAAAGATCTATCTGTATTTACCATAGTCATTGGTTGAATATTTCAATTTACAATCTCATAATTTAGAACTTTCTCCTTTGCAAAGAGATGAAATCCAGGAATGTATTCAGCTCTGCAATCTCTTTAAATTTACCACAAAATGAGAGCATGTCTCAGAGACTGCTCTTATCTATCTTACCTCCACTTCCCATCTCATCTTATTATATCATTGGCTCGAAAGACAAATCCTCGTTCTATAATGAGTCATTTGTATTCAGCGACACTTCAATTACTGGCAGCAAATTCTGGACTCTTTGGTCATTTAAACACACTGCCCTCATGTTTACAGATTACTACATCCTTGAAAACAACTCTGTGCTGAAGGCAGCATTGAAGTACAAAAGGATCCAACTCAGTGACTTCAGAACCGTTACGATGGAACATTTTGGTGAGAACAAAATGTTTCTCTGCTGTGATCACAGCTGAATTGATGATACAGGTGCATTAACTTTTCTGTCATGTCATTTTACAGACTTACCTTTGAAGATCTCCTACCCACCAGACTTCTCTGATTCCCAGCACTATGGACTACTGTTGCTGGTGTATGCACCACATTAGATAGTACAGAATACATCAGAAATGCATGCTGATAAACTATGGTTTTGTTCTGACGTGAAATCCTTGGACAAAGCTTTTATCCAAGGAGCAACAGAAGACAGGAAAGTGCCTATTAAGTGTTTGAGGGCCCAGTTGTAATCAAACCTCTGACACCCCGCATATAGATTAACCAAGGTCAATCACAATCTTTTGATTCTTCTTCACTTGCATTTAAATAATCAGCAAGTTCAAAAAATCTAGACAGAAAAGAATAAGTGTTTACATGCTACAGCTGCACATGTAAAGGATGAGGTTGGTGGAAAAATCCAGTGAGAAGACCAACCCCAACAATGATCCTATTAACAAACATCCAAAGCAGATTATTTCCCTGTTCCCCAGAGCTCCACTGTTATCCAACAACTATTAAAAACACATCAGTCAGCCACACTGGATGACAGCTGTCTTGGTAAATTACTAACACATAAAAAATGATATATTTGTGTTCTGTTTTTAAGGATTTCTGTCTTCCTTGAGAACTAACAGTCTTTGATATGTGTGCCACACACAGGTTAGGGAAGTCAGAAAGTTAAATAGGATAAATCAAGGTGTTGTCACAACATTGGTCTTTTCATGTTTTTAATTGCAGGTAATTTGGGTGGAATAATGCCAGTTCTGTACTGTAGTTACCAGGCTACTTAAATGACTCTCCAAAATATTTTACTTATCTGTGGCTCTTTTACTAATCCATTAAAAACACTGTGACTGATTCCCTCAAGCTTTTTAGCATTTTTCATTTGTACGTCCTCTGCTCTGTTCAGTGACAGCGCCCCTGGTGGTCAGGCTGTGAGTGACCTCTTCTCGCTCAGCTGGGACTCCGTGCTGGTCAGCTCAGACAGCGTCATCGTGGTTCGTCTGGACGGCCGGGGCAGCGGCTTCCTGGGGCAGAGGGTCCTGCACGAGGTTCACCACAGACTGGGGACTGTTGATGTTCAGGACCAGATCGCAGCAGTAGAGTATGTTGCCAGATTTGACTCGTTCTACCTAGTGTACAACCTTGAACTCTTATGTGACAATAATAATATAGTCCTATTTAAAACACTTGCAAATCTGAACAGCAGCTGTACTATCATATGTTGACAGTTTAGCGTTGAGAAGAATATCATCCTCTTCTTAATGTATCTACTGTGTGCACTAATAAAGATAACAGTACAAAATCCTTCACTTTAAATCTTACCCTCAAACTTTAAGCAATAAAAGTTCTTAATGAATTCATTTCGACAAACATGTTAGGGACTCACTGGCTGTGGTACAGACAGACGGGATGAGGCACTCACTCTGTAAGACGTCCTGTAATTTGTTGATCAGGGTCCATTTAGTAGCAGTTCTTGAGCTTTTGATTCTATGACATGATCCTCATGATCAGCAGATGGAGTTTACTCAGATATCATGCAGTCTTCGATGTGGAGATACATGATGTGCTATGGGTTGAAGGCTTCATAACAGCTGCTTGAGATAAGATTGTTTTCTCAACTTCTGTTTCCAAGGTCAAGATTGAACCTTGTATTTTGGAGTGACTGTACAATAGTGTTGGTGAAGATAAACTATGACTTTGAAGCGTTGCAGCTGGTTTCAGCTTTTGTTTTATAGCTCTTATCTCCCAGTACACATTTTTTTATTCCTTGTGGGTGCAAGCAAGAAGAATAAAGCTGGCACTGATTTTGTTTGCAGTTTCAGGAAATGTTTCTCTAGTTTGGCTTTCTTTGAGTTTTCTTATTGCTTATTATTTCACCCCAGTTTCTATGATTGAGATAATGTGTTGTTAATTTTATGTTATTTGCCACTAGCTACACTAAAGATTCAGCAAAAATAAGATTTACTTTATTGATAACACATTCATACAGACTGCAGTGTATTACTGGGGGTGGCACAGGGGTGCAGTGGTTAGCACTGTGGCCTCAGTCTGGGTTCAAACCTTTGGGTGCTCCAGCTTCCTCCCACAGCAATTGTGTTTGTGTTTGACTGGCTTTCACAGAGCATAGAGTACATGCTCTGTAGGTGCTCAAACACTCTGTGCTGAGTGAGTCACTTCATAAATGTCTTATTTTTCACTTTCAGTGAAGAACTTAGTTCCTTAGAACTTGCCTCTTGAAAGCCTAATTGACAGTTGACAAAGCAAGCTACAATGCAGCAGCAAGACCCCAATCGTAACTGAAAACAAAAGTGCTTCATAAAACTATTTTCTTTAGCTTTGCTTTCATGCCGCAGACATGATTGAAATGATCTGAATTTACAGCCTCACCACAGCAGTATCTGTTTCAACCAGATCTGCACACAGATAGCGCTCCACTGATCCCCCACAATGCCCCCAGGCGTGACTGCTGAACAATCTGTGACTGCTCTGCGTGCTCTGTTGAGATTGACTTTACTTTCATATTGTTTGGGGTCATATTGACACCAACAATTTAAGAGTGAATATTATTATTACCACTTTTAAGTTAACAGAATTTTATTTTATTGATTTGTTTGTTTAAATCTTAGACTTTTTCAAGTCTAAGCTGGTTAAATTCCAAGATATTAAAAATAGTTTTACCTCGAGTCATTTGTTTTACCATGAAGTATTTGAGCACATTTAAGAAAGAATGATCCAAGAATTATCATTTCATGTATCAAAATAAATAAAGTTAGGAAAATAACTGTTATGCTCTATAGGGAATTTTGACATACGTTTATCTTTTTTCTCAAAATCAGTTTCATAAAATGTGGAAAAGCCATGAAAAAACTATGCAACAAACAGGATGAAATCGATGCACAAAATTAAGGAGAAATTTTAACAATTTCAGTTGGTGGAATTGTTAAAACTGGCTGTGAACATGGCCATGTTTAAAGATGAAATTCAAATTGTAGAAATGTGGTCATGTCTGTTTTTCAGATACATGATGAAATTTCCCTATATTGATCGGACACGGATAGCAGTGTTTGGAAAGGTGAGCCCATGCTGTTGTATGTTAATAATTAGATGTAAATTAATTCTATGTTTTCCATATGAATATTATATGTTGCTGCAGGTGAGCCAAAACACATGCACAGATGTTGTCATGCTTGTCTTTCACAAATTAGATGTGAAATGTTTTCTTTCTGACAAAGTGCTGAAATTATGTTGCATGTTTTTCTCTTCACATTCCACTAATTCAGGTCAGTTTAAAGTTTTTACAGCTATGTTCTGTTACATTTCCAGTAAATAACGTCATTGACTGAACGTCATTTTTATTCTTTATGGATTTAGAGACTGAAGTAATATAATTGCTAATATTTCTTTGCTCAGGGTTACGGAGCATACATAACATTAATGATGCTCAAGTCTACTGACAGCCTCTTTAAATGTGCATGTGCAGTGTCACCGGTGACAGACTGGAGACTCTACGGTGAGTGCAAAATCCTTCCATAAGCCCTGCATCATGCTGAATTTGCATTTCGATCTTTTATCACATTTAACCAAGATTTCTTCTTATTTTCCATCTGGCAAGTTAGGTCTAAGCAAAACATGCAAGTACAAAACTGGTTACTATGTTTGTGTGGAGGCCTAAAGATGGTATTCTGTGGTGCTTTAGCCTTTGCTTGTAAAGAATCTGTTTACCTCTGACAGAAGGTTTTGTGAGGTGAATCACTTAGAGCAACACAAAAAAACATTTATAGACCAGTGTCAATAACATCCTTTACAATCTTAAGCTGACACAGAGGATGCTTTCACCTACACAAAGTTTTATTTCCTCCTCTCTGAAAGCATTTCATTTGGGCTCAAGATGACAGGAACTATGTTGAGGTACTTAGCTGCAGCTGATGTACTGTCTACTGGTGTCACTGTTACAAAAGTATCTTCTCATTTGCACAGCATCAGCGTTCTCTGAGCGATACCTTGGCATGCCATTACGAGACGACAGCAGATATCAGGTGCGTGTTTACTGCCTCCCTGCGCTTGTTTGCTATTGATCTCTGAAAGCGTAACACCACTGACACACCTACTACAGTTAAACTCCCACAGTTACTGAACGTTGCTGCTATCAAAGGCAGAAACCAGTGATGCTTTGCTTTTTCTTGTTTCTTTTTTTTTAATGCTCTGTAGGATTTTGTCACTGATCTCTCTTTGGTAACTGTGTGCACTGGTGTGTCAGATCATACACAGGAGCTTTCTTATAAGCTGCTGCAAAAAGAGCTGCATGCCGCTCTCAGGCCTCCTGCACAGACAAGACGTTTTGCTATCAGAGGTGTTTTTCGCAGCGATCGTTTTTGGAAAGCACCTTATAACCAAACAAACAAACAAATAATTCAGTGCTTTCAGTGTACTGCTGCTTTGCATTAACATCTTTTCCCTCACAATTCATTCAAACGGCAAAATTCTAAGCATAGAAAATAAGAATGGGAGATCCTTTATCACTTGAAAATCTCTAATTGGATTAAATGACTGTGTGTGTCTGCCTTTGTGTGTAATCAGGATATTATGTAATTTATGACAATGCCTTTCATTTGATCACACTTAGTATCTTGTAATTGCTTTTCCCAGTGCCAGTTATACTGTATCTATCAATCTATTATCTCCCACTATTTCTGATTTCCTCACAGTTTTCCAGTGTGCTGCAGAACGTTCAAGCACTTAGGGAGCAGACATTGATGCTAGTGCACGGCACAGCAGATGGTAAGAGAAAATAAATTGTGATAGAATGAAAATGCAGTATCTGTGGTGCATCACTGCTGAGCACAAAGAAGCCCACAGTCCTAGAAGGTAATGAGGCAAATTGTTTTTAATCAAATGATAAAAGGAAAAGCAGGTTATCTAAATTGATGCTGGGATTTCCAGAGGAGCGTATTAGCTGATGAACCATGCATGTTGAATTTGTTGAGGTATTTCCATCCTGCCACAATCTGATTTTTCTTCTTTTTCAGTCAGGGTTCAGCCCAAAACTTCCTGACATGTTTTCTTTCCTTATTCCCAGCCCACATCCATTTTCAACATACTGCTGAGCTCATCAAGAGCCTGGTGAAAGTTGGAGCAAACTACTCAATGCAGGTGTGTATCCCGAAGAGAACAACACCAAGGCGAAGTCTTTAGACTGCATTTGCAAAACATTTTGCGTCATGCCAATACAACACAGGCAAATATAATGTGAATGATGCATATGTAATTGCCTAAAAGTAGCAAAACATATTACATCTGCTTGAACCTGCCAAATAATATGTGCAAACAGTGCTGCTGCTGGGATGTCAGATGGATCTTATCTCATAACCCACAGCAGTGAGTATCATCAGCTTTGCAGACGGTTACAGAAAAGTTCATTTAAAATGCTTTCTAGAACAACTGGAGTAATCAGCCTGTAGAAAAGAATGGATCATCATCATCTGCAGCAGTCACGTAAATGTTTAACAGACAGGAAACATGGGGAGATAAAGGTGGCTGACATGCAACAAAGGTCTCAAGCTACCGCACAATCAAAGCAGGGACCCAGAAATACTGAATGTGCATAAAGAAATAAACTACTAGCACATGCACAGTCCTGGGTACAGTATTACAGTCTATTAGATTTTTTTTGAGCCAGAATCTAGTGGTCATAGGTACTAGTATTTAGGATAGATGTAAGATTTTTAAGTTGGCCTCAAAACAATCTATTTTTTTCCATCAACAGTACATTGATGTGTCCATATGTACAGCATGTGAGAATAGGTCTTAACCACTGTATCTCTTCCTACTCGCCGCGGTTCTGGAGATTTTCACCCACAACACAAAAATGCTGTAAGAAATGAGGACAAAATGCACAGTCCTTGTTTTATGCCAAAGTGCACTCCAGTGTTTAGGCTGAGACCCACAGGAGGCTTCAGTGTTCTTTAAAGATAGCATCTATTTTTCCCTTCTGAAGTGACATGTTTTAGTTGTCACATGTGTTGTTGTTAACTGGCTTTTACATATTTCTCAAGCTGTGTTCAGAGTCATGGATACAAATTTGTACTTTGCAGATTTGATACCTGGAGAGTATTTTTGCAGCTTGCAGTTGTGGGACACAAATAATTTGTAAAAAGAATTCTGATTCTGTGTTCGAGTTATATTTTGATTATATTTGTACATATGTGAAATCTTAGGGCCATGCCAGCATCGTTGTCCTCAGCCACCCCAATTTGTTCCTGCCTCATTTGCACCTTATAAGACATAAAACAAGGTCTGTGTCAGCATTTAGCTGGGTGGTCTGAAAGAGACGAGTAATGGGCATACAGTAAGTGTTTCTGAGATTTCTCCTGAAACCAAGCTGTGTCGAAATGGACATAAATGCACCATTTGCAAAGTGTATTTGAAGCCCATTTCTCAGATGACAGTTAGCACAGTAGGAGAAGTGCTGTGAGAAAAATTCTGAAAGAGCAGGGCTGTGTCATCGCCAGCTGGGCTAACAACAGCTGGCAAGGTGGTAAGTGCAAATAAAAACGTACTGTGGTAACCCGTGTTCATCAGTCAACCAAAGTAAAGCTCCATGTGTAAGATATTGTTACAAAAAGGCCACAGTGATTACATTACAGTTAGCAGCTCACCTACAGTACATAAGATACACATCCCACAGACGTATGCTTCACAGTTGGAATCCCTCCTCATTTCTGATTCACTCTGTGACCTACACATGGCTAATATAAGGTATGTGTCTAACTCAGCTTGACAAGGAATCCAGAGAGACAAAGTGACAAATGTGTATTTAACATGGTAACGTTGGAACATGGTACCTCAGGACTGCTGAAGCTTCAGATGAGACTCTGCTGAACAGTGCGTTTTTTGGAGTGTAGGAAAAGTTAACAACAACCACAACCGATTCTCACACACACATGGATCAATATTGTTTTAATACAAACTTGAAAAATTCCAAACTAACCCTTTAAGCCTGTAGTAACGGGTTTTTGAGTCACCTCATATAGCTGTTGTAGTGAAACTTGGATGCTTATCGACACATACAGCTCATATGGAGAAATAGTAACATCCACTGGGAGTCCTTGCTGATGACCTGGTGAATTTAAGTCCAATACAAATTATAGTTTTAGTTTGTATGGTCTCTACCAACCTGAGGACACTAATGATTAATGGGTTTTCATGCGCATGACTTCATTTTTGCACAACATTTGCCATCAGAATGATTTAAAAGATGCTATATTGCACCAGCTTCAACATTTAGCCACAGTGATTTGTGGTTTGTAACAGACACATTTCGTTAAGATGTTATTTGCTCAATAGCTTATTTCTGCAAACCATTGTTCACTAATTTACTCACCTTTTACCCACCAGATCTATCCAGATGAGGGCCATTTCCTGTCTCTGCAGAGCCAGCAGCACCTCTACACCACACTGACCGGCTTCTACAAGGAATGTCTAAAAGAGGAGTTACTACCACTGCCCGATGAGGAAGAAGAGGAGGAGGAGTAGGCAGGAGGCTTTGAGGGTCAGACCTTTGGCAGAGCTTGAGAGAATTTAACTAAAATCCATCAAGGCCTTTCGCATTTGGACCAAGTGTTTAGCCAGACATGGACACTGGGTTGGAGGTGTTAATGCTCTGAAGTGTGAGTGTGCTTGTGTGTGTGAGCACTCCGGTGTGTGACTGTGTATAAATGTGTTGAAAAGATAACTGAAGGACACAACAGTGACACTTGTATTACTGGGACTTGATGCAGGAACTGCCCTCCAGCATAAAGCCAATTCAGTTTCGGGATGCTCCATTTCTCGGCAAAGCACACAGAAGACTGCCTCCATCTTGTGCAGGTTCTCTGGGCTGTAGTCATCCACATTTATCCGAGTGCATGGTTCTTTTTTTCTCTCTCGAGCTCACTCTTTTTGCCATGTTGGTCTCCTTTGTGGTAGCACCTGGGAAGAAAAGAACACACATGGACACTTTTGGTCTCATCTCTTCATTTGGTTGTTGAATTGCTGCACAAGGAAATGCTCCAGTCATCTGCAAAAGTGTTTAGTCACACTAGTTCACCGCAACCGAGCCGATACTGAGTAAGTGCAATTTCCTGATGAAGCCCTCCACCTCCAACCTAAATGGAAACAATCTCCATGGGTCACACTTCATTGTACAGGGGACTTGTGTAGACATACATGTACAATGCCTTATGAGGTTCAACATACTGTAACTTTATGTGCTGGCATTAATAGTAATCTGTTAGCAGTGTAATGTTAACCTATGTCAACTCAGGTCCTTGAGACAAAGCATTGCAGTCAGTTTAGTATCTGAAACAGTTAGAGCACTATGTCAGCAGTGGTCATGAATTAGTTATGAATATTGGCCATATAGTCATTTCAGTTTCAGGCCACACTTCAAAAGATCTTATTGTCATTTAACCTTCTTTATCTAAAATCAAGTGATGAAAGGTGTGAGATCATATTTCAGTGCATTGCCATCAGATTTAAGAACTTTCTTGAAGTCAAGAGACATTGTCCCTGTTTCTGGACACTCGAGAGAAAAGAAAAAAATAAGTGGAAAAAAATGAAAATGGTTGTGCTAAGATGGAAAATTTTACAGTGTCAGTAAGGTGTTTGCATGTCTACAGGGAATGTGTCAATTGTTGCCACATTTTGTACAGTACAATACAGCAGAGTGTGTACATAAATATATTTTTGAGATGTCAAATCTCATAGAAAGTTTAGTCTATGGGGATGGATTGATTTGACCTTGACGTCTTGTACTTTATTTGTTTCTTTTCTGTTTTCCTTCCAGCTGTTGATTTTATTCTAAGGATGGATTTTGTAACGCGTCTTGTTCATTTTGCTGTTTGAACGGGGAAAGGGAAGGGTTGAGGTTTAGGGATTATTGTGATTGTCCTCTAGTGATGATTATGAATAAAAAACAGTGAAAAACAACGAGTTATACTAATGTAAAAGACACACCGTGCAGCATAGAATCGATTCAGCCACCTTTGTTTGTAGGATTGATTGTCTGAGAGGATGAAGAATCCAATCTTCTCAACAGTTCAATTTAATATTTCATCTATTTTTCATGATAGAAGTCACATTAAAGAGACTAGAGCACTCAGTCATGGCCACAGGGCACCTACATTAATGATTTTAGCAGCAAAGATCTGCATGTTTACTGTGTTTGCTGCCTCAACACTGTGTGTCTGTGCTCATTACCCAGTGCCTACGCTTGCTGGCCTGAATGGACGGCGTCAACTCTGCTGAAGGAAGAAAACTCATAAATCTGCAGGAAGTAGCCGGAGCTGGTTTTGGTATCTGTCAACAGCGCAGACGATGCACGTGCCAATATATTTTAATTCCACGAGAGGTTTTGGTTGTGTTTTTAGAGAACAAAATACCAAACTCGAGATAAAACTCCTCTAAGGAGCATTTGTTAGGTTTTTTTTATGAAACTCAAAAGTTTTATTCATCATATATACATAAAATCTTGACAATGTAGTTGAAATTCTTCAATTTATGCAAAGAAACCCACAGTTAATAATAGAAGTGTAACAAAACAGGACACAACATTAACTTGTAACATAATACATGACATATATTAATGGAGTAACACAGTCTCTAGCCAGTGACATCTGGCATGACGTCACTACTGTATAACCTACTTTAACAAAATATATATTGCCAGAAAGAACACAATTTTAGTGTAAACCATTTCAAGATACTATCACAGAAAAATCAGTTCCCTGTGGTGCCTGCAGCCGTAATCCTGTATGTACCATGCATACATTTTAAAAATGAATTTTTATTTTACGGCATGATCAACATATAGTATACAACACAGGCCCTATATAGAAATATAGTTTCAAATTGATGGCCTGAAGAGCTACTGTATCTAATATGATAGCACACACCCCGAGAGTGGAGCATATCATTTCTACTCCCTAATGTGATTGTGCACAGCTTGGAGTGAGCAGCAGCAGCCACACACTGACCTTACGTGCTGTCAGTAAGCCCTGTAACATCATCGGGACATGTGCAGGGTAATTTTTATTTATCATGGTTAATGAGTTGCATTCATGTGTTATTTTGTGGGCTAATTATTGTTTATGGATTAAAGTGTCAGATCAGTGATTCTCAAGGACTGGCTGGAGCGCACCTCCTAAACGTGGTGCTGGTCACTGTGTGGAAAAATGGGAGGTGTTGACGAGAAAGAGACTCCAGAACTGAGTGAGCTAAGGTAGGCTGCTGCTCAAGAGCGAGTGTGTGCACTGCACTCACTCCAAAATGTTTTAATGTGAATGTATCCTGTAAAAATGAGCAAAGTATGTTGTTATAATGAGAAAAAAAATTCTCATTTTAACAAGATACTTAATTTTTTTTCTCATGGTGGTAGCAATACAAGTCCAGTAGCTTTAGCCTGCTAGCTCATCTACACTCCACTGAAGAAATAAAGTCTGAAGTTCTGTAAACCTTGAGAAATATTCACAAAAACATCAGTGTTCACTCCACGAACATTTCTGCTCTACTTGTTTTCACATAGCATCTCGTAAATTTAAAGACTAATATACAAATAGCTGAAAGAAGCTCTGGTATCCGGTTTCCAAACAAAAACTCCATAATCCAGCACAATTGCTGTCATGTTTTTCTGCTGTCATGTGTGCAGATGTTTGCAGGTGAACCACAACTGGCTGTCAGATTTCATATTGTCACACATTTAGTGTGTCCATGCATGTTTGAAAGTTAGATTTCAGGGCAGCAAACAGACCTTCACCCTCTTCAGCAGTGGAGTGAGAAAACAGCCTGCTAGTCACAAACAGTGCACCTATATTTTGGGCAATCATTTGGTTTTATATGAATCTACCACTAGCAGCCACCTAGCTTAGCACACAGACTGGAGGAACAGCTAGCCTGAATCTGTCCAAAGGCGTTCCAGCATCTTAAACTCACCAAAAAGCACTTTACATGTATATCTCATTTGTTTCAATCAGTACAAAATCAGTGTGGTAAAATGACAAGTTATGGTTTTTAACTATGTGCTGAACTAGACTAGTTACAGTCACAGTGAAGTTTCCAGGCAACCAACAGAAACTCCAGTAAGCCAGTGTGCCGTGCCAAGAAATACTCCCAAATGTAATTATCCCACTGTGTTTGTAAACCAGCTATTGCTTCTCCTAATACCCATACTAATCATGATGTAGACTACTTCATACTGTACTCAAGTGATAATTAGATACTAAATCAAGATTATAGGCCAGATTTATATGCACACACATTTAATTTGACTCCAGTTTTCAAGATACAATGCAAAAAAACTAAAAATGTGTAAGAACTACTGACTATACAGATCAAATATGTACAGACAGTGGTGTGGTTAGCAGCTGTTAGCAGCATGGAGAGCAAGTTTCCACACAAGGAATTTGACTCCAGTACAATGGCTCTCGATGTGCTTAGAGAGGACAACAAGAAAACAAACAAACCAAGAACTAAACAAAAACTCTCGTTCTTCTCAGATATATTTATCAGATAAATATTAGGTGAGCTAATGCACTGAGGACTGGGGCTGTTCTCATGTTAAACAGTCATGGGTTAACTGGTCATCAGTGTGACGGCCCAGGGGAAGAAACTGTCCCTGTGCCTGGTTGTCTTAGTGCACAGTGACCTGTAACACCGTCCAGAGAGGAGGAGTTCAAACTGTTTGTGTCCAGGGTGTGAGGGGTCTGCAGAAATTTTCTCTGCCCTCTTTTTGACCCGTGAGGTGTTCAGGTCCTCCATGGAGGTCAGGCTGGCACGATGACCTTTTCTGAACTGACTGTTGTTGGAGTCTCTTCCTGGGTTGTTTGGTTGCAGAGCCAAACCAGACAGAGATGAGCAGAGAACAGACTCAGTGATTCCTGTGTAGAACTGTATCAGCAGCCCTGGGGCAGGTTAAATTTCCTGAGCTGTAGCAGGAAGTACATCTGTGCCTTCTTGGTGATGGTCCTTATTTCGGACGTCCACTTCAGGTCCTGGGAGATAGTGGAGCCCAGGACCCTTAAGGACTCCACTGCTGATACAGCGCTGTTGAGTAAGGTTTGTCCTGAAGTCCATTCATCTGCACTGTTTTGAGCATGTTCAGCTTAAAGGTTATTGTGACCACACCACAGGGACAGCTGTCACCATCTTAGATGAGACCATTGGTGTCAACTGCAAATGTTAGGAGTTTAACAGGGGGGTCCCTTGAGGTGTATTCATTGGTGTTGAGGGATAAGAGCAGTAGGAGGAGCACACATCCCCTGGGGGGTGGTTGTGCTGACTGTCTGGATGCTGGATGTGATTTTCCCCAGCCTCACCTGCTGCTTCCTGTCCATCAGAAATCTGGCACAGGCAGTGACCTGGGCCAGTTTAGAGTGGAGGACATCTGGGACGATGGTGTCAAACGTCAAGCTGAAGTCCACAAAGAGAACCTGGGCATAGGTCCTTGGGGAGCTGAGGTGCTGCAGGATGTAATGCAGTAATGCAATCATCCACTGACCTGTTTGCTTACTGTGCCCCTTTTAAATCAGTGTTATTGACAGCACTAACCACCACAGAATTACACTAGGCGGTCTGTAATAGACATGGACATTCAACAGGACAGTGCACAGATGTATTAAGAGAGCTGGATGTCGCTCAGCTGCCAAATTTTTCCTTTGTTCTTTGGGTACTGAAAAATCTCCTGTGGCCCACAAAGCATTCTCTCCATAGAACACCATTATAAAAGAGCAGTCTATAAACCTGCTGACAGGACACATCAAACTGCAAACACGATCACTGCTATTATTTATACGTTGAATATTAGTCAGGTTTTATATCTATAAAACTTTTCCAGAGCTGAGAAAAGAAAGATATCCTGAGGACAATGCTTTGTTTTTTGTCAGGAAAAATGAACAAGATGCTGATTTTTAGTGAAGATTTTTCGGCTCATGTGACAGGCAAGCAATTTTCATTCAAGTGACCTGGCACCATGTTTGAGTTCAGGATTCAGTTCTCATAATACATCCATGGTACAAAGCCAAAAGCCTCCCCAGGGCGATGCAGGAGATTCATAGAGGAGGCAATTAGCTTTAATTTTTCTACTGGTTCCAAAATAGGCCTATATGTTGCTCTAAACATGGCTTTTAGGAGCCATAGGAATATTAGTTAAAGTGAAATTTCACACTGAGCAGATAAGACAAAGTAGAAGGGAAAGCAGTTGATCCTATGGAAAAGCCAGATCCACTTACATCAATCCAGCACATTCACAGACAAACAGCAGGTACTGTAACAGTGGCTGCAATTATTGCTGGGGTGGCAAGAAATACACACACATGCTGAAGGGATTAAAATTATTGCCAAGCACAGGTGATATGAAAATCACCTCCCCCCACCTCCCTTAGATAAGTAAACCTGGTGTGTATACGCTCAATGGTTTCCCTTACTTTAAATGTGCTGAAAATCACCATAAGGTAATTCTTTGTCAGTCCTGTGACAGGACAACATGAGGATGCTCTGGTACTCCTGTGCAGACAATTTTCAATCTGCAATTTCTAATTAGACTTTATTGTAAGTATCTGAACACTGTTTTGGCTCTAAGGCTGGAAAGTAATGCAGTAAAGGCACCTGCAAAAACTCTTCTATGACAGATGTCCCAAAATTTGATATTGAACATAGTCACAGTAAATAATAGCAATCAGCAAAGATTATAATCCAAAATGGAAAAATACAAGTTTCTTTGACTCCCTGACACTGTAGACAGTACATGATACAAATATTTCAGTAAAACAATAATTATATTCTGAAGCATTAGATTACAGCAACAACACGTTTTCAGTTCCACAACTTCATTAACATGACCCTGGAATCACCATCACACTTATCTTACACGCTATAGGTCTTCAGATGTTCATCGATACTGGTGGAGTGCTTTTACAGACGGAAGGCCTTCAGGAAAACACAGCCTCTCATTATCAGCTCATCACAGCACTAGCTACACTTCTCACAAAACTGTCTTGCCACAGAAAGTTCTATGGGCTAGTTATCTTCTCTATCTTCCCTCTTCTGTGGTAGTTCAACCTCATCGTCCTTGAAGCAGCGCCTGAAGAAGGTGAGCACTGAGTTTAGCATGTAGTGCTGGCTCTTGACAGATGCAATGTTGTGTCCTTCATCTGGGTAAATCTGGGAAACAGGAGGTAAAGTGTACAGTATTTTTAATAATTTAGAATGTCTTTTATTCTGAATGTCAAACTCAGCATCAAACAGGAGGAAAAAGTGAATTTGTTTTTCTGTCATAGAGTTAGTGTGAGTCAAAGTAAACTCCAGAGAGTGTTTATAGCAGTGAAGACACATGTCCCCCAGTGCAGCCGTGCAACTCACTGAGGTGTTTTTAAAAGATTCTGGACATCAGTGGACCTCTATGACACAGACCAAAACCTCATATCATGCTGAGGATGCACACAGTACCCAAACACAACACTTGGAAAAAAATACCAGCAAAAATCTAAAGACTCAATGCACCAAAAACTATGTAACACTCCTGAACATAAGGGGTGAGGCAGGACTCCTAACTTGTAGTGTAGATGCAGCTCCTGCATCTGTTTGGATCTAGATGAAGTTCTGAGAACTGTCTAGAACCGCTCACAGTTAGTGGGCTGCTGCAGGTAGTGCACCTTGTGTCATCCTTTTAGAGAAATACTTTGAGAAAGGTATTGACACATTCATAAGGGTAATGTGATTGAGATGGATCTAGTAGGCACGCACAAGCCAACAATCCCATAACAAATATGACGGTACTGTCCCACTTCAAACCATCATCTTTCTTTAAACCATACCAAGTTGGTTTTGTGCATAAACCTGGTATGGTTTAATAGTGCAACCATGACAACAGAAGTCTGTCACATGACAATGACTGAGCAGACTAGGAGATGAAGTTTCAATGGTGTGAAAAAAACACAGCCCTCTCCACTGATTTCTATGGGGGACTGCGTTCACTGCAGCCAGCACCAGCACTGCAGGGTGCTCTGACAAAACAACGCAACCCTGTGCAGTGAAAACGTTGAATCTGGCTCAGCTTTCACCGCACAGGTTGCTCAGCAATTTTGTGAAGAGGCCTTTTGAGGAATCTCGTACTTAGAAATGTTTGGTTTACGAGGACTCCTGGTGTTAAGATAAGCTACTTTTAAGTAGAGTCTTAGATCTGTGCTGATGTGGCTGTGTGACCTGACTTCCCAGCTGCCTTTGTTGTATGTACAGTATGTGCACAACCAAACTTGTGATGACAGAGTGACTCCCAGCTGCCTTTGTTGTATGTACAGTGTGTGCACAACCAAACTTGTGATGACAGTGACATAAGAAAGGTAAGTGCCTGATAGAACTGTAAATACAACATCAAGGTCTGCTCTTGTTAGGAAAGTGAAATGAATTGTAACTAAGAAGAAATGGCAGCAGTCACCTGGAGAGTGTAGTTAACATTTGATGCAGACATCAGTTTGACCAACTCAGCAGAATGTTGGAAGTGAACAGAGGCTGAAAAAGAATAAGGCAATTAAAAGAGCTTAATCATGGCCTGATACAGCTACTCAGTCATTACACTTCCACAGCTGGGCAATTACTGAAACTTAACTGTAGTGCCAACACGTGCCCAGACAGAAAAAACTCAGAAGTTACTTCACATGTAACAGTACATTATAGTACACGGTGTCGAGGCCAGGGATGTAATCAGCACCGGCATTGCCACATTCAACCAATCAATGCACAGAAAGCTGAAGACAATTATTGTATACAAAGCTTTAACATGTAAAATCCTTTACTACACATTGATAGTAGCAACAGAGTAAAAATAAACAAATAATCTTTGAACCCCTTCGCACCCCGGTTTTGTTCACAAGCGTGAAAATGTTATATCCACATACTATTCTTGAACTCTGGTGAAAGGCAACACTTTGTGGTCATTTGAATTAGTAGTGATACCGAACCAAACTTAGAGAGGCACAGACTTGGTAAAAATGTTTTTACTCACCTAATTTATTTGTTTGTTTTCAAATGGAAACGTGACTGCAGGTGAAGCCAGACACAGTGGGGTTACAGCCACAAAGGTGAACAAATCAGAGCATTCTGAATGGTTCTGTCTAAGGCTGTGTCCAAGTAGACATTTGGAAACTCAAAAATGGCTCTAAGTAAAATGATAATATGGGTCTTTAAAACTGTAAAATACCCATACAGTTGAACTAAACTAGATAAACTACTCATAAGTGCTTATTTTGTAAAAAGAAGTGTGCAGTTCCTGCAAATGCTGTGTGTATTAAGTGCAGAATTCTAAGGCCATATGCAGTAAAACTGATAAAAATCTCCTTTGAAAACCCTAAGCAAAATTTATTTTGCTAACATATCTGTCAGTCATCCTGACCAAAGCATGTGCACACAGAAGACGATTAGGCTGTCTGCATCATGTTCTCGATGCTGTGATAAGGTTACTCACTCACAGACTGCTCAGTATGCATCACAAAAACCAAATGAGGACTTTTTTTCTCAGCACAACATGGTAGATGTGAAGACAATTTGTGTTTTTTAACCCTATGATGTACAGGATATTCTACACCTCTTAATGCACAAGACGAGTAAAAAATGACCTGCATTCATTTTCAGTAGTATTTCATCCATAGCTGAATGAGTCTTTGTAACATCTTTAAGGTAAATTTATGTCATTAACTCAAGACTTTAAGAAATAATCAGTTGCTTTGCTTTTTTTTTTTTTTTAGTAATTGTTTTATTTTGGCATGATTCAAACAAACGTGGCAGCTCTGTCAATGAGGAACAAAATACAATACTGTACTGCATTTTCAAATGGACACCAAGTCACAATCTCAAGCAAGTGTAGTCTGCATTTCACCTTATATTTAGACTGCTGTTTTTAATTGTTAGCCTGCCAATAAGCCTTATTATACATCTGTGTATCAGCTTGTATGTCTGTACCTGCATACTGATACTCACCATCTGCTGTTCCATGGATAATAAGAAAGTTCAGTGGACTCAGAGCTGTGATGTTACTGAGCAGACTGGAAATCTGCCAGAGACACTAAAAAGAATTACTCCTCCACAGACAGAAACAGCAGCAGTTTTGTTAGAATCAAAAGAACATCTCATTTAAAGCTCGTTAACAGTGAGTAACGTTAATTCCACTCACGCCTCAAGAGTTTGTGATCTTATGTTTATAAGAATGAACAAAGACTTAGGTTAATAAAGGAAACTCATTTTAGAACACAACCAGTTCCCATGAGTAAATATTCATACAGTAACTCCTTCAGCATGAGCATCAGTACATAAGCAGTATTATGGAGTACAGGGCTGCCAAATGGCAATGGCCTGTTATTGGCTGGAGGAGCTGCCTTTGTACAGCTGTCTCAGAGGTATGAGACAAGGAATATGACTTCCTGAGAGGACAAACAGTCGCCATGTTCTACAATGCCAGATTTGGCTTCACCAAGCCTTTTTGCACGTGCTGTTTGAATGAAAATAGCAGATGTGCTTGGATACTCCCACAAAGGTCAGAAGCAAGATGTTTTGTGCTGGATGATGCACTTGTGCAAATAAAAATGGTTCCTGTATTTGTTTTATATTGTGAATGCCACAATAACCTGCTGGACATGAGTCATGTTTGCATCCCAGACTGGTTTAGAATACGGCATAAAGCCAGAAGCATATACTGGTTGAGTTCTGGACTGAGACAAATGAGCATGTATGCTATCTGGTTACTCTACGTGAACAATTAATTCTGTTGTGACAATAATGGCACACTCAAAGAGATTTAATTCCAGATTAGTCTAAGAAACCTTCAAAAACCCCACTGACATCCAGTCGTACTTGGTATTTGTGATCCTCTTTCACCATGGGGCCAAAGTATTTCTCGGTGAAGGCTGACCCTTTAAAAAGAATAAAAACAAAAGAGTTAATGGGGAGACACTGTGAGTAGGAACAACACTGCTGTTTAAATTCACACACTATTCAGTCATGATAACACTCCCAGTGCTTTCTAATATTACTTCTTTACTCTGTTGGACATTGTAACTAATAGAACATGCCAGTGATGATTAATGCTGCTCCACTCTGTTTACTAACCTTCCTGGAATGTGTTTGAGATTATGAATCAGTGGATCAGAATTCCATTACATATACCTTAAATCTGAGAATGAATATATGTTAGCACTGTTAACTAAATATTTAAACTGTAGGCTGATCAGCTGTTGGCATCACTCAGTGATGCTTGTCCACCTTACCATAGAGCCTCCAGTTCGTTATAGGAGCCACAGCAATGCCACACTTGAACATCGAGCTATGGGAGAGGAGCAGGAGTGAGGACAGGAAGCCACCATACGCCTGGAACAAAAAAGAAAATCATTGCTTTCTATGTATGCTTTGTAAGAAACATTTTAGAGCTTAAGCTCTACTGCTGTCCAAACCCACCAGTGAGTCACGCTGCTGCACTGGGTGACGTGTTTCTTCCTCACAAAAAAACAAAGTGAAGTCCGTCTTATATCAAATAAAAGCTCTAAAGGCTAAGAACGACCATTACATTTTATAGTCTCTGAAGTAAGAGCTGACAGTGCATGCAGTGCACGTGATCTCTGCACCACTTCTCATGTCACACATAACAGTGTGATGAAAAACCATCTCACCCAGTGCAGCACTGTGGCTCAAAGGTGTGTTTTTAATAGTGTTCTTGGACAACAATGGAGCAGCTGAATGAGCTAAAGCAGGTTTTGGATTCACAGACATCACAGTGAGTAAACCGAATTCATTGTTGGTTTTAATCTTTGTATGGGATTTGTTGAAAGTAACAACAAAGTCACCGGCCTTATCTTTTAAATAAAGTGCATGATTATATATGTAAGTTACCTTTCCATAAACTCCAACTTTGTTCCCATTAATATAGGGCAGCCTGATCAGGTGCCTGAAAAATTAGAGTGAGTTATTTAAATAGCTGTTGTCACTTATTACACACGGATAAAGAAACCACAGACCTTTTCTAAGTTCTCAAGGAAAAAAAAAAAACATACTCCATAACAGTGATCTGGTCCTGAACATCAACAGTCCCCAGTCTGTGGTGAACCTCGTGCAGGACCCTCTGCCCCAGGAAGCCGCTGCCCCGGCCGTCCAGACGAACCACGATGACGCTGTCTGAGCTGACCAGCACGGAGTCCCAGCTGAGCGAGAAGAGGTCACTCACAGCCTGACCACCAGGGGCGCCATCACTGTGAAACGCCACAGGAAGTTCATTAACATCATAATGGTGCTTAAAGACAGTTTAGCACATTAACATAAACCTTATTTCTGAGTATTTGTTTTGAAGCTTAGTGGTTAATAAATACTATGTGGTTATCAGTCGAATTCTTAGAATATGATTCTGTATCAATTCAGTCAAATTCCATCAATAGGTAGATGAGTCAGTACAATAAGTATACATACATAACCAGTAAAAGTGGGTACTCCATTTTTTCATCCAAATCAACTGGTACAAGTAACTCCAGCCGAAGTTCTGCAAAATAAGTGAACAAGAGAATTTAGTGATTTTACACATTTGTCCTAAAGACTAACTATTTATGCTGCACATGATTCTAACTTGCACAGTGCATTTTGGAAATGGAGCTGACAATTTTGCAGTGCACTACATGTACATTTATCTTTATGACTATATCAAAGCTCAACACCCTGTACGGTCAGGTCAACATAATGTGAACCAGTGGGAGAAGGCTCTGAGGACAGCACTGTCGGTACAGTATACGTTAGCAGACATTACCATGGTGTGAACCACGAGGGAGCCTGGAGGAGCTCGGCTCCCCTGAATAAGACACGAGCTCCCCTGAAAACATGATTTGCAAATTTTGGTAGGTCTCAGTCTAAAATCCTGTATGTGCATGACCTCTGAATTCTAATGAATTAACAGATGCCATGAAAATCCCAAATAAACAAAAAATACTGTAAGAAATGAATTAGAATTTGACGACAAGGCGCCCACCTTGACTGTTTCCACTCAAAAGGCCCTCCACATGTATCTATCTCATTGTCTGTGATAGAGCACAGATTAGAGACTCATCCACTCTAAATGAAACCATACTTTGTGATTCTAGGGTCTGCTCCACAGTCATTTCAAGAAGCTGCGCACCTGTTCACTCAGATGAATTTACATGTCTGACACTGTAATATGACCATTTGTTTCAACAAGTCACCACCTCAAACCACACCAAAACACTCTGCACAGGGAGACGACTGCAGTTTCATACCAAAGTTGTTGATCTGTACAGTTCTTCTTTTCCACTTCGGTACTGTCCTATCCATCAGTGCATGCTTTAATACTGTGTTCATTTCAAGAGTCTTGTGGTCTGTTAGATGGCATGACAAAAAAAAAATCACTTCAGTTAGAAGAAATCTCAAACTTGCATGTAAATGACCAAACACACAACAGTCACATTTAACAACATCAGCAAACTACAATAACACATGCTTTAAATTGTGCCAACTCAAGGTAACTAAAACTGGGATGTGATAAGAGAGGATTAACCACCCTCTCCTCACTGGCAAATCTGTACTAGTGGAGAAACATGATCCTTTATCTACTGGTCATTCCCCAGATGCTGCTCTGAGTGCCTCCGATGCACACTTAACAACATTTTAAGCACTTAAATGCCTTAATCTTAATTACATCCTAATGTTTATTTATTTTTTTACACTCTGTTGTAGAATTTTGTCTTAATGAGCTAATCTTAGGGATTCAGTCTCCAAACATAATCAATTAACACACTTTTCTTACATTAAAAGCAGTCACACTCTAAATAAATAAACTAATAAATAAATCTTCTACACAAATATACCTGATGTAATGGACTGAAAGACAAAATAGTAAATTAATTGCCAGTGTCAGAGTACTTACTGTTCATGTCATTTAGTTTGTGCAAAGTAGTTTGTGGTATTCCAGGACCTGGAGGACAAATAGTTTAGGTCAGGCTATTTAACTTTATGGCACATTTTATTACATTAAAGCACAGGAGACTACGAGGAAAACCAAGATAAATATCAGGATAATAGAACAGCATAAGAACTGTCACAATCTCAGTCTTTGTCCTGTCTCTGTCCCTGGTTTTCCCTGTTAGGTTAGACTCTGCCTGTGTTTGTCCCAGGTTTCCTGCCTCTCGTTCACCTGCATTTGATCGGTGTAATCAGCCACTCTGTATATAAGCCAGCTCTCTTCATTCACTTCCTGCAGATCACCATTGGTGAACTCACATCTATTATGACTTTCCAGTGTTTGTCCTCTCTGCTTGTCCCAGTTCTGACCTGTTGGTTCCTTGTGCTCTGACCCTGTTTTTTATGTTATCTACCAGTGTGGGGCGGTTGTTTTGTGAGCCAGTCAGCTTTCCTTTGTTGTTATTGTTTTTCCCCAGCCTGTCAGGTTTGCTCGGCCGCTCTGGCCTCCCTCACCTTTCCTACTGTCTCTTGCCCATTTACACTAATCACGTTCACCTGTTCCTCACTCCCTTATCACCAGCTGCACTTGATTAGGTTGCTCACTATATTACCCGGTTTCACTCCTCAGTCACTTGCCAGTTCGTTCTCGTCTCTAGGCCATTTTTCCTCCGTGCTCTTTCGTTATTTGTATGTATTTATCCCCTAGCCAGCTACTGTTTTGTGTTCCCCCATGGACTGTTCCTCCAGACCGTGGCTCCACTCTCCCCTCCCAGGAAGGTCAATGCTCAGTCGCCTATCTGTTCTACTATTATCATCATCTCTCTGTCTCCACCTTCAGTAGCCACCATCACCACCGACCAGCCCAGGAGTGACCCAGCCTACGCAGCTCGGCCCAGCTCTCCATCTCCTCACCTCCTGCTGTTGGTCAACACCCAGTTACTACTCATCGACAGGACTACGTACTATTTCCCTCTGTGCATTTTGTTATTTCTCCTCATCACTGTACATAATAAATCACTGCTTGCTTGAAGTCGGCTACCTGGGTCCGCCTCTTTCTCGTTCGCTCACTGACGGGTGCGAACGGCACATAACACAGCCAGTCTGTGCTCCTGTGTCTTTGCACATTCCGAATCACCTATATATCCTAGATAAATGTATTGTCTGCATGAAGGCCCTGTTTTCCTCCCCACTACCTCGTTGTCTTGAGTCTGTTCCTGGCTCCTCTACTATGAATTCTGACAACAATAATCTTTATTGTACAGATGTAAAAGAAATATGTTTTTATCCTTGATTAGTGTAATACAAGTCTGACTCTAGCTGTCTGAAAACTTTTTCAGAGAAGCCTGAGAAACGCTCACCACAGCATGCTAGCCTAGGAGAGATGAAGGTAATGGTTATTTTTTTATGTTGTGTGCATTCTGTAATGTGCTAAGAGTGACTAAGTTTTTATGTAATAGTCCAGTTCCAATGCCCCGCGAGCTCTTCCCTTCACATGTTACAGTGCATACAGTAGACTCACACTCTTTATAGTGGAAAAGTTAATATTTCATGTAAGTACATATGTCTATTGTAGCAGTGCTTGTTTTTCATGTTTCATTAATAACAACATCTGATACTTTGACTTCCTCAGCAAACATAGAGGATCAAAATGAAGACCTCAGAAACTGATCATTATTAAGCTACAGTGGTATCTCTGACTCCATTTTAGGGCCAAAAAGGTGTCTAGGTCAAGAGTAAACAGGGTTAAAACCAGTGATGTGAAATGGGGTGAGAAAGCAACTGAACACATGCGGTTCTTCAATATTTGGTGTTACTGCTGTGTCAGGAAGATTTAAGGAACCTGCTGTTTTGGTCCTGAGGTGTTACCTCTACATTTGAGAAGTACATGTTGGTAGCTGGGGCTGAGGGTAGCATCGTAGTAGGTGCACATTGATTTGAAGAGGGAGCAGGTGAGGCATTCTTTATGAAATGGATCCACAGTGGAGACCCTGTTTGAGGAGAGGAACAAAAAATGTTTTCTACTACAGATACACTGGAAATACCCAAATACTTTTGGCTTTTTAGACTTGAATGAAATTTCAAAGAAATAGACACATTAACAACAACAACAACGACATAGGCTAGTTATTTTCTGAAGAGTTTGTTGAGAAAGACTGACACCACTCTGATGTGTGATTGCTAAATATGAATGAACAGCCAGGAGATGGTTATCTTAGCATAAATCTGAAGGTACCAGAATGCCTCCCACTAATTAAAGACAAACACCACTGATATAAACATCGGAGTCTGTTCACAGGTGTTGGGGAATGCTACTGCATATGTGACTTAAGGCTTGAAACTTTAAAATGAAAACATCTTGGCATGTGGAGAAAGAAGTGAGTCCAGCAGACCTCCTTGACGTGCTCCTCATCTCTGCTTGAGGCTATATTAGCATAGCATAGCGCACTTGAATCTCTGAATAAATATCACTTACACAAACTTAAATGTAAACTGAGAAGTCTCTAGGTCCACTACGAGTTACCTACAGTCAGCAAAGGATAACCATTCTGAATTACCATAGTCAGACCTAAACCATTAAAGCAACTTTTTACCCAAACAAAACAAGGACGTATGCTGGTAAATTCAGCACCTCCTCCCAAAATGGCACCCCCTCCCAACATTTAGCACGGTATGATGTACCTTCACATTCTCTATAATGTCAAACTGCCAATCCTGAATGAATGATGGCGCTTTCTTGACTTCTATACTGAACTGAAATCTTTGTGGTGCTGTACCTGTACAGCTGCCGTTGTGTCGAGCCTTCCTCCGTGCTTAGGAAATAACTGAAAAATACAGTATACATTTAACTTGTTCTATGAGAATTTTATTTCTTTATATCATCGTATGGTGCCAAACGTACACTAAATTGGTGCTCTCAGCATAGGCCAGAATTTGAGAGACTTCCCAGCTTCCTGAAGTCAAGTGTCGGAGGTTGACCTTTTGGCCCTCAGACTGAGAAGCATGAGAAAGAATACAACACAACATACAGAGTGGAGAAATCATGTTAACATATCAAAGCTTTGTTCTACTTATTAGTTCTGCAGAAACTGAATTAATCTGGTACTAAAACCACTGCCTCTTGTGCATCTACAATACAGAATCTCTGTCTCTCTGTCTCTTTAATTTATTCATACTTAATGTATACTTAATTCTCTGGTGTTTCAGGAATAGAGTTCAGATGTAATATAAAATGCTGAGTCTTCAAAATGAAATCATATAAGCAGTATGAATAATTACAAGGCCCTTACTGTAGGCAGGACAGATAAGGAAACAAAAAGACGAAAGCACACGGATACAAAACATTTGATTTAAACAGTGAAAGTGCCTATCTAAATATATTCATTGTATTAAACTTCTGTAATAGTTTTACTTGACTGGAGATCATGGTGATATGGTTGAACGTCCCACGTCCACCATGTTTTAAAGGAATAGTGATGAAGAATGTTTTGCAATCCTTAGAAAACACCGGCTCCTCATTCTATAAAATTAGACAAACAACAAGCATATTGCAAGTTTTTAGACATTTTCATGCTGCCATAAAGTCTTGTTGCCATGTACAACACTACAAGCTGCATGTCTGTTGACTGGTTTGGTAATGTACTGCAGGTTCAATCAAAAATGGACTGGAGGCGTTTCTCCTGTAACATATTGTAACTAACAGTTTCCAATTAAGTTCAAAAGGCCAACAGGTTGTTTTCTAGCACTGGTGGTCTGCTAGAATTTGTTATTTTTCTGTAAGGTAAACAAGACTGTAAATAATCTGGCAGAAATTCACCCCAGCTGTCCTGGCTTAGCTCGTACAGTGCCAGCAGATGGTGAGTGTGACAGGACATGTTGTGTGGAGACCGAATTAGACGTACACCTGACACAGGATCTATCATGTGACACCCTCCCTTTCCATGTGTTTTGAATGTTCTTTTTTAGTAATTTGTCTGCCTTTGTCTATGTGGCTACTATTGAGTTTGGCTAGTGTGTTATTACCAGCCTTTATAGAAAATCATTATTATTGCCTAAAATATAAAAGGTAATGAAGCTCTTCTGGAGTGAAGCGCTTACCTGACGATCAAGCCATTTCTCTGTTGTCATCACATGTTTCTGAAATAAAAAGATCAAGTTTGTACATTTACTGGAGATTTTAGAAGATTCAAGTGTTAGCAACATCACAGTTCTTCACTGTACCTTTGTGCAGCCACCTGTGGTGACATCACACAGTGAAAGAATTGACATATTTTGAGCTCGGTTCACCCAGCGCACACTCAACCTCTCCTGTGTCACCCATTTCACCATGGTGACGTAGTACTTGCTAGTAAAATCAGAGAAAACAGAGAGCAGATAAATAATAGAAGCAGCCTGGGTCAGTGAGATGTTATTATTATGATATCATCATTTATTGTTTTAAATCTGTTTAAAATGTACCTGTTTTCAAAACTGTCAGGAGGTCCCAGCTCAGTTGTTAAGGAGCTGCCATCCAGAGTGACAACATACAGTCTGACAGTGGGATTGATCTGACCCATCTAGACAAAAAACATGCATAACTGCAAAATTCCATTCACAGGCCAAATCAAATTTTATGTGCTGCACACAACTTCTGCCTGCAGCTGCAATGCCTTGTGGGAGATTATTGGCTTGTGCAAGGGCAGGGTGTGCACAAGTATGAAGTAGGTTGGCAGACAGGCAGGCCATACAATGGTTTCACTTGTGCTGAGTAAAATTATTGGTCAGGCTTTTTTCAGCCCTGCTGCTGCAAGAGATGACTTTTGTTTTCTTTATGCAGTCAGTGCATTTAATGTAATTATTGCCATCAGGATGAAAAGACACCTTCTGATCTATATTCACCTCCAATCAGTCCTTTTGCACACCTATTGCCAAGGCCTGCCACTTTGCAAAAGTTGTTGCAGTTGCACAGTTAAATGAAGTCCCTTGTTGTTTGCAAATTTCTCTATGAGCTCAACAATCTGGAGCAGGCCAGCAGATGGGAACATGGCACAGCTTGTCACTGTGAATGACATGCATCTGCTTTCCTAAGCTCAGGCACATGAGACCTACAAAGCTCCCTCACAGACAAAAGAAAGGAGAAGCAATTACATCTCTGCTTTGCTTAGTTCCACAATATTACAACACTGACCTAACTCAAAGATATAAGCAAGAGAATCATCGTGTGTGTGCAGTTTTCACAAAGCTACAGTAGGAACAAGTGCAGTGTTTCATTGATGAGAAGCCTTCCTATGAAACCCTATCCACCGTCTGTGGGTCTGAACTACAAATGAGATTGACCTGTACCTTATGACCCTCATTCCACCACTTTTCCACAATCCGCCTCCCATCTCAGAGGCATTTCATACGCTAAACTTTCACAAAGGGATGGGAGGTGTGTTAACTTGAAGCATATCACATTCTCTTCCCTCCCAGTTACACCAATCCTTAGTCTTAGCACGTATAAGGGAGCAAGTCCACGTTAACATAAATTAAACAAGAACAGGATCCACTAACCTTCATGGATAAGATAAAGCAATGATCTTGCAGTTGTATTATTCATAAGATACAATGAAGCTGTAGTAAAGACAGCTACAGTGGGTAGGTTACAGAATTCAGGGTGTAAGAGCTGTTGTATGGTATCAAATAGGATGTCGGGGGCAGTCGGATTTCAGTTAGATTTGATTATTTCTAGGGCTGTGCTACTGATACAGAGACACCTGGGCCTGACCTTTGGGTAAGGGTACTCCTTGCCTCTGGGGTAGAGTGATCCTGTGAAGTGGGGCAGGAGCATGTTAGGGACCAGGGAGTCGTTGATGGTGAGGTAGGCCAGTCTGGAGCCATCAGGTGACCACCAGTGGGCCACCTGAGTGCGCAGCACCTCCTCTGGAAAACCAGTAGAAGACAAATAAGAAAATCTGAGCCAGGAGAGTGGGGCTAGCTATGTGTTCATCCAAGACAGCAGACACAAGGGAAATGGTCCTGTCGGTTTTGTAAGCCATTATTTAATAAGTGTAAAATACATTAAGAGATCTGAGTTGACAACAATGCTGATCCTGAGCAACACCTTTTTGAGCACTAACATCTTATAATTTAAATAAGAAAGATTAAAAAACAAGAGCAATGAAAAACCTACCCAGTTTAAAATTAATAAAATTATTTAAATCACAAGTTTATCATTCTGATTTCTCTGATATTAAAAAGTACAGGTGTTCAGAGATGTGTAATTTTTTTTAAATCTAGGTTATTACCTTGCCTTCACAGAAAAAGAGCTTTATGAGTGAGCAGTGAGTGATTTGAGGGCATTACCCTCATAGAGCCAGTCTGCGATGCCATTGAAGATGATCCCCTCCTGTCCAGAAGACGTGAGTCTCCACGAGCTGCTCTGAACATCTGCTTGGTAGTAAATGTTGTTTTCAAATATATATATCTGTGTGACATGGAGAAAATAAGTTTTAATTTGGAAGAAAATCAAAAAATGTCAATAAGAACTGTATTCTAATGTATATTAGGTATTCACAAACATGCACAGCTTGCAGTACAAACACACCTGCACATTGCAATGCATACTTGCAAATGGAACATGCAAGAGAGATGGGATGATAATATCAATTTGGTTTTATGTTTCCACTGGGTTTGATTAAATGAATTTAAAGATGTTACACAGAAGATTTTAAATCCTTTCATTGCAGGACTGAGGTGATAGAACAATTCTGTTGAGCAAATTGAACTGATCACACAAAGGGAGCACGCTCACTGATAAAAACATATCCAGAGAGTGGCTCATGTCACTCCTGTCAAGTGATAACAGACAAATATGCAGGAAGAGCTCATGAGTAATGACATCTACTGTGTCATTAGTGCGTTGAAACACTGCTACAGGGCCGCTGGGAGAACAGGCTCCACTGAGGGCAGGTATAAATGCTGAGGAAATGAGATAAATATGCTATCAAATGGTTAATTACTTTCCTTGTCTGCACTGGAGAAAATAATAGAGTGATTATTCGGCGCATAATACCCTGCACAGTGGAGGCATTACTCACACAGAGCGCTGTGGTCGCCCAAACAAGATGTCTTCTAGCAACAGCTTGATTAGTGTAGCTGTTGCTGGCTATATAAATAAATGTTTACTTTAACGAGACACTGTCTTTCCTCTGGAGTCGGAAACAGTGTTTTTATTTAAAGGGTGATCGGCCTTCACCTCAGAGCACAGAGGATTCTATGAATGAAATGAGGCATACAAAGAAAAAACATTTTCACCTTTGTGCAAACAACAATGCTTCCTAATTTTCAGTCAAAATTAAATACTTATTGCAGTGGCTTCAGGCTGCAACTAGTGTCACATGTCTGTATAACATTGTTTCTTCATTCAGAGCGCTCAGCAGAAAAGCTTCCGCTGTGACTCAAATCGTGTTCCATGTGAGTAAAGCGTTTCTCCTGGACTTTCTCCTGCATTACAGCTCAGTCCAGAGCTGGATTTTATCACTGTGTGACTTCTTCCATGAATACTATACATGCTTTTGCTCAACCCAGTGCTGCAGGAAAAACAGTATTTATTGAAATCACAGTATTTGGATCATACAGCACCAATATAGCATCAACCTGGAAAGAACCAGAACTCTTGTGGTATTTGGCCCGTAGCTGTTGCTGTTTGACTTGCTTGAATAAGGAAAAAATATTTATTTTAAAAAAATCTACATTACGTCACTGAGTGAATAATGGACGATTGATCAATTGCGCCACTGCTTTTAGACTGTATCTGCTTTATTTGAACCTGTGGACTGCTCACCAGCTGTTGACCATGTGCACCCCATGAGGCAAACTGGAGAACTGAGTCTGACACCTCTGGAGGATTCAGCTCCTGCACCTCTCTGACAAGAGGAAATGTAAGAACATATAACACACATGAGCCAATATGCACCAAATCAGCAAACAGTTGCATGAGTTTTTAATTCTTAAAGTATAAAAATTCTCTTTAAGATGAGTTAAAACAGGAATTTTTGGCCCTAAGTTAGTGAACCTATTGCCATAAAATAAAAAAACAAAATGAATTCGTTATGCAAGGTCAAAGTTTAGGTTACATTTGTTGGTTTCTCACCTTGTATACAGGTTGTAGACCAGGTACGATGCCAAAAATGAGTGTTGGTAAACCTAAAACCCAATCACAAAAGTTCAACATTATCATGAGCAGGCCTTTGTACAGAGTTGTAGATGGATGACAACTCTATTTTGAGATCTCTGCCCAAACATGCCCACCAGGACAATAGGCGTCAGTCCACAGGTGAGGGTTCAAAGACAGGTAACGACTCTCATCAATACTGGGCTATAATGACTCAGTCGTTAGGGGACATTGTTGGCCTTCAAAGGACTGAAACACCACCAAGGGGGATAAATATGTCCGACTCAACACCAGTCAGTCAGAACTGATGAAGCCTCTTGGATGAGAGGTGAAGCGTCTTCGACCTAAAAACCTAGTCCAGTTGGTTTTTTTTTCCAGCTTACTATGAACTGGATGACTGAGAATCTGCACAGACTATTATATTTGGGATCTATCTTTTAAAAAAGCAACTGTTTTCAGCAATATTACTGTGAAAACAAACCTGAAGTCACCCATTACCTTGTCATTAGTGTAGCAGTGATGACACTATGAAGCAGCATCATTTACATAGTGCTGTTTAGGGTTCAGCAAAAATAGGTTTGATTCAAATACATTTAACAAATTACATTTTAGTTCTTGTTCCCCCAAACTTTTTGTTTCTTCTTTTTTAAAGCCTTTAATCACTTTTTACACAGAAGAAATGCACACACAGATCCATCCTGCTGTAATATTAAGAACTGAAGAGTGTCCATCCAAAATTCTTTAATACATTCTCAGACAACAGTTTACAAAATTTTAAAAAGTAGATAAAAAAACAAAAAAAAAACAAAACAAAATAGTCACTAATTAACACTCTAGTCAAAGGAGCTTGTAGGGGTTTATCACTGAGCGTGTCACAAACAGATAAAACAAAGACACCAACAAACAACTGATTGGTCTGGAAGACATTTTAACTGACTATGTAAAATATTTGCAAAGACGACTGTGGCTAATCGAACGCATTTCTGTTTACTTTGAGAGATCAACACACCTGAATGCTTTTGTACAGTGATAAGTGGGTTAATTGATACTCTACTTACTTTCATAATTCAACTTCATTAACATTCATTTCACAATTGTTAAAAATGGATCCTCTTTCAAAGCCTACAATAATCAGCACTTCAGTAATTGTATGTTGTAAAGACACCACTTGAAGGCATGAAGATGCACTTTATAATGTGCACTGAAGGCTGCTGACCAAATAAAAGGAAGCCAGACTAAGATGTATGGAAACCTCCGATGCTGCAGTGTAGTGCAGAGAGAGAGAACGTGACTGTGATAAATCCATAAGACAACTGGAAACAGTGGTGAGGGGGCAGGCCATTACTCTCTATAGATTAGGACCGTCACCTCGATGATGAACACATCTGCTCCGTCCATCTCAGGAGGAAACAGCATCTTTAAACTGTGCTTCCTCAATTCCATCAAGCACACAGAGCCCATTATCAAGCCTGCTTAGTTCACCAATGCCGAGGCATTCCCGTGGCCATCAAAGTATAGGATGGAGCAGTGAGGAGGACATGTGGTGTAAGTCGCAGCAAGACATTTCACAGTTACTGGACACAAATATAGTAATAGACTTCCGGTGTGATAAATGAAGAGTGTTCAATTTCCTGTTAGAGCTACTTGCATAAAACAATCATCTCATGCAGTTTCTCCAGCTTAACGACGACACAGCTGGCCATCTGTTTTTTCTAACAGACACCAAGAGGAACTGTAAAGAAAAGTATAGCGCAGGTGCACATTGTGGCCGACACTGAACCCTATTTCATTGTACTCTTACTATTATAGATATATATATGAAGTCAGAATGAAACTGAGGTGAGGAGCTGAGATCAGAGCAGACACTAGAAGTAAGGGGACATTTATGAGACTCAACCTGTACATAATTAGTAGCGGTTATTTCATCTTAATGTTGATTTAAAGCTCTGATATGGCTATTTGTAACCACACAGCATTAACATGTTGCTTTTTGTACTTTTCTGTCTTATTACCATAGTGAATGAAAACCTTATGATCAAAGTGAACACTGACAACAAACATCACTTTCATGTAGCAGCAGAGTCTAATTATATAGAAACTTCTCATGGGTGACACCAGAACAAGAGACTTTGGAGGGCACTATTTTGGCAAATTCTGAAACTGGTTGCACATATAGTAGGCTACTGTAATTCCAGATTTCCAGTGATAAATATATCAAACAACATCTTTAACAGTCCTGTTGCTTCATTTTCAAATTGGCTACAAAGTACAATGGTCCATCAGACGTCAGCATCATGCCTCTAGTAGCAGGATTCCAGCATCTGTGTAAAAGGAACACAGGAGCAGCATGTTGCTTTTTTAAGTCCAGCGTAAAAGGGCTAAAATAAAAATAAAAAAACATCTCGAAGGAGGGTCAAAACGTAAGCAGTTTTCCACGATCACTCTGTAAAAGGGGCTATATTGTTGGTTTTGGCCTTTAAACTGTTAAACTAAATAAACTGTTAAACTGATAATCATAAAATAAGTCATGTACATGCAAAGCAGCTCCAGACTGGCACTTTATCACGATCATTCAACATAAAACCACCAACTAGACAACAGCGTTTCACTTTAGTCAACTTGAGTGTTAACTTTTTGCACATTTTCATGCTACAAAGAACAATAAGGATAATAACTTTTTCTCTGTAATCACAATAAAAGCCCCTTGGGATCTTTTAAGGTGCCTCTTTCTCTTACACATGGTAGCTAACAAATACCCTCACCATGCTGCTATCTTAATGAGTTTTCTAGGATTGTGTGCACAGCCACTTTCTATCTTTAAATCCACACCTGAGAGGCCACAGTCCTTAATCTCTGCTGCATGGATGGATCACATAGATCAGCTGCAATGAGGTTAACACAAAGGACAGAAAGAGTTCCTGATAGGCGTGATATAGGATTTGAGAATAGTGATTATTTTGTATAATGTGTTAACCTACAGTACAGCTGCAGTGTTGGAATAATAAATGTGAACATAACAGTTTGTTAGTACTTTTTTATGTGTAGCCAGAGTAACTTTCTTATTGCAAGGACCTAGTTTGAATTTCAGTAAACATCACTGAGAATCTGTTGTTTCACTACTTTATTCAAATGTTATATACCATTTTACAGTAGTCCACACAAAAATGTGAGCAGTTACTATGGAATGACAAACCAATCAGAGATGGCTTGATGAATGATTTAAGGAGTTGGTCATAATGTTTAGTGTACTAATGCAGTTGTACATTAGTTAATAACATTTATAAAACCCAAGGCCATGTCGTCTATTTTAGCAGTCAGTGTTTAGAGAATTCATTCCTTCACTGATTCAGAGATTGACATCTTAAACTGGTTTTGTAAACTGATGTGTTAAGTGTAATTGCTGATTAAATGATTTTGTGTTACTTATTTATCTACTTTATATTTCATTTGTATTTTGTGGCATTCATGTGGACGGCAAAGTAAGAATTTCATTGTAGAGGGAAACACGTTTCCTAACTGTGCATATGACAAATAAACACTTTGACTAATTATTCCATTCTAAAGATTGGAACATCACCTGATATTTGTAATTAATGACTCATAATAATTACACATTTTCGATTAGTTCGCTGTAAATAAACTTGGTGCCCCGTTTCAGGTAAGAATATGAAATTCATGTTCAAAAACATTACACAGCAAAAGTGTATTGTCCATAAATGATTTATTACAGTCATTTGCATTGCATCTGTCTGCAGAGACTCAAAGAAGAACATTCTGTTGGCAGAATCTTCTAACAACACTGGAAGAGCTGAAACAGTGGAAATGTAAAGTGCTGTGGATCAGCAGTTGAGCAATTAGTCTGTACGAAGCTGATCGTTCCAGTAATCATGACTGAGCATTTCCTCAGCAAATACACACAACCATCCGTTCCATCATCAGCTCTTCATAAACACCACGGGCCACAACACAAAGCTCTGTTTTGTTATATTGCCATTTTGCACCGATCCTCAACTAGGAAATGACAGAATTGATTTACTGTTTTGGCAATCAAGAAATTTGAACATTTTTTACCATAATACAATCCCCATCAGCATCACTGAGGACTAATTCAGGGATCTAATGATGTGGGAATGTCATCAGAAATTAAAAGTGAAAGTTTCTCTGGCTCTCAGTCAAACTCTGGTTCTCTCAATATCACAATGGGATGTGCATGTGGCTAAGAGATACCTCATATCTAAAGAGTTTGAAGGGTTTTTCTTATCCACTTTACAAAACCAAAATACATATGTAAAAAGAAAAAGAATGAATTGGTTTGTCTGCTCCAACCTAAGCTTTTTGTCTAGTACTGCTGTCAGCCGTCTTCCTGCCGACAGATAGCTGTTCTGACGATACGTCTCCGTCAGTGTAGATTGAACGGATAAAAAACTTTGTCGCACATACACGCCGCTAACATCTAGTTGTCCATTAAAGTTTTTTACACTACACTGAGGTGTATTTTCACCATTAGTGGTAAACATCTAACACACTCAGTGCCATTTAACATCTCTACATAGTTTGTTTGCCTTTTGTTACACTAAATGGACAGATGTATTTTCACTATAAGTGCTTAACCATCGCACCATTGCTATTTGCAGGAACAGACTGAGAAATGCGGTTATGTTACACAGAAGAAACAGCTTGGTTCAGAAACCAAACTTGGGTTTTATTTGACAAGCTGATCTAAAAATTCTGCGGTTACTATGAGAAGAAATTATACAAAAAACAAATGTGTTTCAGACTAACGAAGCATCAGGTGTATCAAGGTCCTGCAACTGATAGCAGCTGTCATACTGGCAAGCAGAAATCATGCTATTCTGAGTTCTGGCATCTATAGTACTTCCTGTAGATGCATTGTGTTTAAGAAAATTTACACTAAGCCAGACACATTTTGTATGAAAAGAGAAAATACAAAACTCAGTGTTAAATTTCATTGTATTCCTGTTCAATAAATGCCACAGAGACTTCAGTATCAGCAATTAATTAGAGGATCCTTCATCAGAAAATGCTAAACCCAAGATTTACAAGACTTCACAGTGATTGTGTTAAGTGATTATTGTTATATACATAAATTCATTAAGAAAGAACATTTGTTTAAGAACATGTACACAGGCTATTGATGATGTTAAATATGTGCTGACACACAATACTATCTTTTCTTATTGTCAGCAAGTCCCATGGAAAAACTAACAGTGGCCCAGGTAGGATACTAACAGATATGGTGTCTGTCTAAAGCCTGATATGACCTACTCCTCTGTGCCATAGAGCTCTGTTGTTGGTCACATCGGTGAGCCACACTGTTGCACTGGTTGTCATGTTCCTTTACTGCATGAACACACACTGTTTTTTGAGTCAGTTCCACACGATTATCCTTCTTTAAATGCTTGCTAGAGAACCAAATCTGTCGTTACGTTGTTAGTCTCCAACATAAGTACCATTTACTCCTGTCTGAGTAACGCTTACTAAACATTATAATGTCTAGGTACCGTATATTAGGACATTATTTTGCGTTCTAAAAAAGATGAAATTTAGAGAAATATTTTCCAAATAGGCTCCATGAGGTATATAGAGGTCAAAAAACTGTGTTGTTGTTATTGAACAATTCAGTGATTTTACTTTCTTCACACACTGTAGCCTGTGGAGGAAATACAGGGAGGGTCTGATGCAATGCTGATACATCAGGAATACAAACACCCCCAGTCACTGAAATAGGGAGACAGAAACTTGCAATATTCTTTGAAAATCAGTGCCCTTGAAATGTTTGATTAACAATGGTTGTAAAGCTTCATTGTTTTAAAGTTTAATAGCACACTGGGTTGTTGTAGTATGGGATTGTAAGCACTTCATGTTTTATTCTCACAAACACATGATGATGCCTCCATGTTGGCCACATCTCCATCATGAACTGTAAACCTCAGCCCAAACTCAAACACCAGTGTCAGAATATATGCAAACAGAATATTCTGAGGTTCTCACCTGCTTGACATCATATCCCAGAAGAACAAAGTTCTGATCTGGAGAAACGGCAAACTTTGAAGCTTTAAAAGTTGCCTATGGAAGAACAAGAAATGGATGAGATTTGTTTCCCCACAACAAATCCTTTTTTCATTCAACTCTCTATAACTAAGAATATATCATATGCTCTTGTCAAATCATCTGTGTTTTGTCGGAGCCCTGAAATCTGCCTGACAACCTGAGATCAAACCATCAGTGTTAAAAGTTAGCGAGTTCACTTTAGAAGGTCAGAATATCTGCCAAAGGTTTGCCATTGTGATAATGAGGCAAATCTTTGGCAAACTATTGGCTTACTTACAAACGTTGAGTTTTTCAGAAGAAGTTCAGTTTCATTGTTGTGTGCATTAACTTTCAAAACATCTCCATCCCAGTTCTGAAAGATGACCTCATCCCCTAGGACAAAAATATGCAAGTTCAAAGCTCTGTATGAATAGAAAAAAATGTATTTAAAGAAGCTAAGTCATTAAATTTGTGACCGATGTTTTCCTTTGAGTTCCTAAACCAAAAAACATAACTGAATTTGATCTATCTTGACAAGAGAGGTCAAAGTACAGCTGTCTCTTCACGCGACAAGCAGTCTGGACTGCAGTCACCTTCCTTAAATTTAGATAGTGCAGACATATTTAACAAACAGTCACTTAAATTTGTGTCATGGAATGTGTGAAGCTTCCAGACCCAGGCCAAAAGAATTAAAGTCATTAACCATCTGAAGAAATTAAAGGCAGATGCTTCTTACAGGAAACTCACTTAACAAATCCTGAACTGCAAAATCTCACATGTAAACAATATAATAAACTATTCTCATCAACATACAATAGCAGGCAGTGAGGTGCCTCAATTCTAATTAATAAAAACTTAAACCTAAAAGGCAGCTGTGATCTTTGATGGAGGACTATCTGCTCTATTATCAAATACTAAAGTACTGAATGAATCAGCAGTGCAAATTTCTACTTGTCTCACAAGAAAATCCATAACTATTCCTTCAACAAATACAAGGCTGACAGAAGCAAAGCTACATTTCACAAAGGTAGTAAAGTTTTCATTGAGACTTTTCAGTGCCATTTATTTCTTTCAACAACAGCATTATAAAAAAAGAGTTTTTTTTTTTTTTATAAAAGTCAACCCTTCAGGGGAAACTATTATACAATAAAACATAAAAGGAAACTTTTCTAAGATGACTGAAGGACTTTTGTTCCCAGGTGTGTGAGACTGGAAATGTGAGAGTCAAACTTTTAGCTGTGGAAAACTAAGCGTGACAGAGAGGAGCCAACTACAGCAGTTCTTTGAGGAAGAAGGAAGGCTCAGACAGCGTGACAGTACCAGTGCTACATAACAGTCGGACTTCTGCCATCCACCAGAGACAGCTAAATGAAGAGGACAGTCTCGTTGCCAACAGTGATACTGGATGTGTTTTAAGAAAGGAGTCTCTTATGTGAGTTTCTAAAGATACACTAAGAAAATATTTAGATGGTGATATTTCCAACTGCTGACTGTGTGATCCTACATGTGAACACTCATGATGGGTGGTGATAAAACAGGACATTGGGTTATTCAGTAGATGCTACTAAAATGTGCATATACAACCAACAGTACAGTGCACCACCTGAAACATTAGAGTGTAACGTGATTTTTACAGTACCATGTCTCTTGAGATGTTTCTGTGAGCACATGTATAACCTGATTTTGGGCATTGGAATAAAGAAGGACCATTAAGAAATACACTAAAGTAGTTAAATGAAAGCCAGCTAAGCCTTGGAACTTTTGCGTCCGTATAATCCGTCGCGGTGCCTTAGATCAGCTGATCAGCTTCTTCTGGAGGCACCGAGGGCTAGGCGTAAAACTAGGGGGGATAGAGCCTTTGCTGTGGTGGGTCCAAACCTGTGGAATGCTTTGCCTCTTTATATTAGGCAGGCCCCCTCGTATATTTTTAAGTCTTATTTGAAGACCTACTTGTATTCATTGGCGTTTGGCCAGGAATGAGACTCTGTCTGTAGTGTTAGAGTGTTTGTTTTATTCTTTATAGTTTTTTATGTGATGATTTTAGATTTGTATGGTATGTTAAGCGCTTTGGTCAGCTGTGCTGTGGTAAAGCGCTATATAAATAAAGTTGAGTTGAGAGGTGAGAGCTTACGGTACTGTATTATGGCCTGTCCAGATCAGAGTTTAGTCACATTATCTATAAGCATCAGGTGTAAACGGCAGCTCGCTTTCTCTCTCTCTCTCCCTCACTTTCTCTCCTCCTGGCAAGCTGGTTTGGGTGTTGTTGGCACAACTATGGCTGATGAACTCACCAGCTAGGACCTACTTAACCAGCAGGGAGAAACTACGGGTTTTGCCAAGATGTCTTTGGCCCTACTTCACCATCTAAGAAGATAACCTCTTTCTCCAGAGATTGAACTTTAATCCCGTTTTCACTTACCTGTCTGTTGCCGATTCCACAGTGAAGCCATCGCCACTCCTGTCCTACCCTACTTCCCTGTGAGGTCCCAACCAGTTAGTGATGCTGTTGCCATACCTGACCGGCTACTCGCCTGCTAACTCCTGGCTGTCAGAAACGCGGTTGTCCTACCTGCCCAGTTCACTATCTGGGGGTTCCAGACTTCGTATCTATGTCTGTGCTTCTCCTCCCTGCTCAAATCACCTGGATCCTCCTGGGTCTCCAGCAACAACAACAGCCCCAACTACCTCACCTGTCCCTCCCGACTCCACAGCCAGTCTAACCTGCCCTCCTGTCTGACTCAGCTAGCCACCCGTGAGGTGGTGCCCGCCTGCCAGCCTCAAACTCCTACATCTAGCACCTGCCCAGTGTGTCTCTGGTTTTCCTGGGGTCCCGAATCTCTCCTCTGGTCTTGGTCATCCTTTGCCTGAATATCAATTACTCTAATAAATCATCTGTCCACACTTAGAGCCTTGCCTTCTGAGTCCTCCTCTGTTTTAGTTTCCCATGGACCCATCGACCCTGACAATTTGTTTTTACCGTTTCTGCCCTAATAATGACCCACTGAAGTTGAAACTTGTCTGTTTTTACTATACAAGACTAAATAAGGGCTTGTAATATAACTTTAATCCTTGCTGTGCCTGAAGAATGTTTTCTTCATTGTGATTAGTTGTCGTCAAGTGTACCTTAAGGCTTCCTTGGTTAAATGGAAATATGACAGTGAACTTGAGGCTTCTTCCCCCTTTTTTGTCTTGGCAAACATATTATCTCTGAAGGAGGAATACGTGATGAAAATATCACATCAAGTAACAGAAGATGGGTTGTTTAAGACTGTGGATACAGACTCAGAAATAAACTTATTAACAAATTTTCAACTGCCTTTTTTTCCACAGAATACATTAGAAAGGTTGGCATAATAAATAAAAAAAAGTCAGTGGGGCCTGAAAATAAATCTTACATGTACAGTATATAGAACACAGTGAACATGCACATTTTTTATTACTTATACATCATAGTTGTCTGAGGATGACCAGCAAGCTCAAATGCTCTGCTAATCTAAATGACAAATCAATGCCATTGAAATTCATCTTGTTTTTCTGTTTATTAAATCTGAAGCAGTAAAATAATCACTGCTTGCAGCATGGAACTTAGAGATTAATGTGATAATTTAGTAAGACACTACCATTGCATTTTTTATTTGTTGCAAGGTTACTGTAGACTTCACAGCTACCTTTAACAACAATGAGATGAGCTTTATATTCAGATATGGTTCTACTATCCCAAAACAGCAGTCTGACAAAAAGTAAACAATTATAGTGTGTTGCTTCACCTCAGACAGTGTCTGTGATTACATGGTGTGTACATTCAGTCTCGCGCCTCAAAACAAACAGATGAGGTGACCAAACTTTTATTGTATCTCATTTAAAGCTTTAGATGTTTTCAAAAACTTTATTGCTGTCAAAAGTAGAAATAAAATGCCTTTCCCATATAATTAAAAACATTAAACAAAACGATATGTTTTAATCTTCAAGTGTTGCACATACTTAAGGACTACCGTATCATAACCATAGTTTTATTTGCCATGATCAGACTATTCCCAAACCACAGACATACCACAGTTGTCATGTGCGTAAAGGTAAAGTGTTGTGATTGAATGTAATTTGGGGTTTGGCACATTTGTCAGACATAAACTACCTAGCAGTGCCTACCAAGTACATATGATGGGCAACTTTTCACATAATCTCAGAATTATTTGCAGACTTTGAAGCTACTTGAATTCAGGTTTCTGACACTTACCACTGATCCACTTTGCATCAGGGTCATGTACTTGGAAGTTTCTTTGAAAGAGGTCATCCAGTGTCAACTGTGAACCGAAGGATCTACCACCATCATCTACATAAAGAAAAAAATGTATTTAATATACCAAAAACAACCAGCCAGATGTTAGAAAAAGGAAAAACAATCTATTTTTTTTGTCAATTTGGTATCACATGACAAATCAAAAGTACAAACCTCTAGTAAACTTCTACACATACTGTACAAACACAGAAAAGATAAAGCAGTATTATGTAAAGATATATTAATACACCTGCACAAAGCTGCGTGAGGAATTGAAAAGTGGGAGTTACAATTAATGACAATTCTGGAATATATCCCTTCCAGGTGTCATCTTAAACAGTTCCTTCTCCACTTTCTTCATTACCCCTCATATCTTCACAGTAAACAATTATAACATGACTTGATTCAGCAGCGTCTGTGATTACATGCATGAGTATATTCAGTGCTCAATAATGAAACTTGGCAATAAAAATGCTAATTAAGGCAGAACAAACCGGAGGGTTTGTAGTGTCCATGCAAATTGTGAAAGGATACCGATACTAGTATAGACAAAACTAATGACAGATACAGGAATAACCAGTTAGGAAATTGCTGAAGTAATTTCTTCCATTTTCACAAATTCTGCTTTCATACAGTTTCCTTGCTAAGGAAGTATATCTCACTCCTGTATTATAAAGTCCACATGGTATCAACATCTGGTTGTTCAGGATTCACTGTACAATATAGTGCTGGTGGTGCTACCAATGTCTTGTTTAGTGTCCAAAGTTGATAAGGAATATTATGTACAGTACATGTATAAATAAAAATAGGATGGAGAGTTTCATGTTCTTTCATTTAATTGAAACTTTATAGGTGCCCAGACTTTTACCATTACTGACAGTATCTGCAATATTGACATGCTACCAATGTACCAAAACATGACTGAGTGCACATAGGTCAAGGTCAAAGTGTTTCATTGTGATATGCACAGTTAGGAAACATGTTTTCCTGTACAATAAAAGTCTTACTTTGCCATCCACATGAATGCCACATAATACAAGTGAAATATAAAGTAGATGAGCAATAACACAAATCTAAGGCACTTTAAAGCAGCAAGTGAAAGAAGCACAATAAAAATACAACAAGAACATAATATAATGCAGAGAGAATATATGCTACGTGGGAGCTGTGGAGTGCAAATACTCAGCAGTGAGTGACATATTCATTTAAATAAAGACAAATATCTCAGTGAGGTGTCTGCATGGGTTTTCAAACTGCTCAGGTTTCCTCACACAATCCATACACTGGGTAGGCGAGTTTTAATTGTTTGTGGGAGAAAATGCTATTGCTAAAGGTTGTTAGCTATACCCTTTAGGCCCGAATCTTGCTGCAATACCCAGTGGAAATGACTGGATCGGTTGATGGTGGTGTGAATTTTTCTAAAGTCAACTTGTTTTTGTGTCGAGGTTGTGCACAGGACCCAGATGCAGACTCAGGAAACATTTAGTAGTAACTGGTACGGTAAGGCTTTGATACAGGCTGAAGCTGGAGCAACAGAACAACACCATGACAAAATAGTATATAGCAACAGCAAGTACATTAAATAGACAAAAAAAAAACTCAACAAAAAAAAAAAAATAGAAAAACATAAGATGAGAACTCAGACGAAGGGGAACATTGCACAAAATGGAAAACCTTCAGCTACAGTATAAGGACACACAGGAAGACTCTCTAAATAACAGGAATAAGATCAGACTGTTAAAACACACAGAAACAATACAGCCAGGGAGTAGACGGGCAGAAATGCAGTCAAGAGACACTAAATCATTAGAACAAACAAGGAACTATAGAGTACCTCACCTTTTGACAAGAGAATAATGGGTAGTCCAATGAGTGAGAGCAGAACCAAAATAACCAGCAGAGAGATGCCAATGCCCTTCCAGTTTCTATCTGTTCCAGTAGGTCCTATGTCCTATAGCAGGAGAAACAAGTCACGTCAATAGTAATGAAGTGTGTAAATAATACCCCAAACTATCGACACACATTTAATATAGTGGGCAAAAACATAATATACTGAGTAATGTCTGTGAAGTATCGAGCATGTTTCAAAGTAGTCCCATCTCTCTATTAATATTTCTATTAATGATACTAAACACTTGTTATTTGCCACTGCTGATAGATTATCAAATCCCTGACTTCAACCACTCCTCGAGTTCCTATCACTTAAAAAATGCAATGACTTTGCATATTTTTACCACCAAACAATTGAAAACATCAAACTAAAGATCACATCCACTCAGCTCAGCAGACACATTAAGACTGTATCAACCTCTACAGCAGAGAGGAAGAGATGAATAAGGGCGCTTGTGAAGGAGTTGACAGCACTGAGGGTGAAGGTAGAGAACCAAAAATCTCAGACCTCTATGCTATTCTCCAGCCATTTTTAAAATTAAATGTCTTTTACTACTTTTATTAAATGTATCAGTGATTTTATTAAAGTTTATTCTAATTTTGTTTTATTTTACACTTTTTCTCACATATATTATCTATCTTCTATTTTATAATTAGTATTTTAATGTTTTTAGAAACTGTATGGGTGATTTATTTGAAGCACTGAATTACAAATGCATATAATATAAAATAAACTTGCCTTCCTCCAGTGCAGCAGGCTGCTAAAGTGTTCTTGAGCAAGATGAAATATCTGGCATCCATGCTCAAGAGGCACTGCAGGGGTTTATTGAGCCCATGCTGAAATCTGAGGGCACAAGGAGGCTACAAATTGTCCCTTGGGGCATCATTAAAGTACTACAGTTTAAGTTGCTATAAGAAAATATAGTCCACTTAATGAAGACCAGTCTAAAGGCAGAATGGCCCCACAACAAGGCTGGTAGTGGCTGCAATAAAGACCTGGAAAAGCAGCACCAGGGAAGATACAAAGTGTGTCCAAAGACTTAGGGCCCTGACTATATGTCAAGAGTTCAGTGCACAAATGTCCTGTTCCTGTATGAATATCCAAAAAAAAAAAAAGATAAAAATAAATATATATATATATAAATAAAT